GATTAAAAACTTTGTTCACCAAAAGAAACGCAAAGACCTGAAAAACAGTTTCACCCTCTCAGGCTCTAAATAAGTTTTGATAAAAGGATGGACAACTAAGTCCTTCAGGGGTACTTCTGAGTTAAAAAATGCTCATGAAATACGTATGCGGCGTAACCAGGTAGGTAGGTTAATGTTGCAAATCTGCAACGCCTGCCTCCAGAGGGTTAATGGTCCCCTAGACCAGGGGTTCCCAAATTGGGGGTCGGGACCCCCAAGGTGGTCCCCACAAAATTACAGGGGGTCCCCACAATTTGTCTTTGCTGAGATTGTGAGGTTAGCAAGAATTTATTTGTAAAAATTACATTTATAAACTCCCAATAACACACCCTACAGTATAATCAGAACTCCATATATAATTTACAGCTGTGTGTCTGAATAAAGACGTGTGTACGCATGTAGGAGTTGGGGCTAGGGGTCCTGGCTTGTCTTGGACATGAGCAAGGGGGTCCTCAGAAAAATAAATTGGGAACCCCTGCCCTAGACCTTTGGAAAACGTTTCTATTGACTGAGACAACAGTGGAAGATGAGTCTCCGCACAATATTAAAGCTAACGCGTTTCATAAACGCTTCATCAACAGTCAAATTGGTGATGGTTGTGTGATGGTCTGGGGCTGCTTTGCTGCTTCAGAACCTAGACTACTTGCTGTAATTGATGAAAACATGAATTCTACTTTCTATGGAAAGTTCTGTTGGAGAATGTCTGACCTTTGACCTCAAACAGGTCACTCATGCAGGAAAACCCTCAAATGTGGCTAAATTTAAACATAATTCCATAAAGAAGGGTGGTCCAGTAATGTGAGAGACTTATGACCAGTCATCACAAATGCTTGATTACAGTTATTACTACTAGTTATCAGGTTTAGGGATCTATTATCGTTTTGCACATATCAGGTTGGTTAGGGTTGAAAACAACATCTTGTATTTATACAGAAATTGAAAGTTTGTTTGCTGATCCAAAACATTTAAGTGACAAAATGGGCCAGAAAGGGAAGAAACCTGTAAGTGGCTAACACAACGTTACTAGCATTCTGTCACACAAGAAGTCTAACTGGAAACAAATCATGAAGCAATGCACCTCTTTACTTTACTGCCTCAAAGTAAAAGGAAAACTTTATTTTTCTAAGAAATTTAAATTTTCTTTCAAAAATTATTAAAGACATGGAAAACAAATGTTTGGTTATGAGTAGGTTTTCTGCACAGAAACAAAATCTAGTTGAGATCCAAGAACATAAAGTCCAGTGGATATTTAAGGTTTATTTAAATTATTTATGGTTTATTTTATTACTGTTCAAAGTAGCTGTCAAGTCGAAGTTTGTTCTAAATATTTTTGATGTTCGAGTAAATCTCACTCTGATCCAGAGAAAAGTTTCAAAAGATTATGAAGCTTTTTAGAAAGACATTTGTTAATTGAAGGCCAAGTTAACTGAGAAACCATGTTTTATTTATTTTTGAAATATGATAAGACACTATGAGTTTAAAAGCTAACCATGAAAATAGTCTTCTTCCCCTATTTCCTGCATCGGCCACCAATAGACAAGGAAATGTTTGGATTAGAAAAGCCAGTCAGTTCTATATACCACTGAAAATTAGCATTCATGAACTCGACAGTCTTGGCTCACGATGGGGAAGATTGTTGTTTAGCATCCAGGAGAAACCAGAGCACGTCTCAGCTAGTAGAAGCTAACCGTTCCACCACACGGCAGAATTCCTCTAGGCCTAACATTTCTGGAGATAAAACATCAGCATAGCAAAACAAATGGAGTCAGTGGTAAAGTTACGTTGCTGTTAGCCAATCAGAGGCAAGATAACCAAATAACAGGAAAAAACTCCAAATCCTGTCGTCTGAAGCTAACCGCTCATCTGGCTCGCTTCTAGTTCCTGAAACAAAAGTGCGAGAGCTGTTTTTCCACAGATCGACTCACAAGGCATACTAGAGCACTGCAAATGTATCGGAGAAAAAAATGGGTGAACTTGGTCTTTAATAAAAGCCAGAACCACCATCTTTGTAAGCAGAAAGGGTGGCACACAGGAAGACGAGGCCTGCTGCTTTTGGCAGCTGTACATCCTGCATACAGTACAAAACCATCGGGTCAACACACGCTGACTGCTGAGTCACTTCTATCCGACCGCTCTGTGGGAGGCTGTGTGTTTATGGCTGCAGATCAATGAAAGCACCCATCATGTATAATGTACAAAATATTTCCTTTAGGAACAGAAAAGCCAAGATAATTTAGCATAACTTCCTCTGAAAAATATAATGCATGTTTTAAATTCCCACCAAAGATTCATCTGAATGAAATCAGCCTCCACGGGACTCAGAAGTTATTGTGTTTAGTGTCCACTTCTGAGCGTGCTGCATGGCAGTGGGTTTACTAAGAACGTGTTGGCACTCTCCTCTGGTGTTTACTAAAAGCACAACATTAACAGACACCCGGTGGTGTTAAAGACACAGAGCTGCATCTGAGGTTCGTCTCTTCTCAAAGCGGTCCCGATGTCATTGTTGCTAAAAAGATGTTTTCTTACAGAAAGAAGGGATACGTTGGGATTTTATCTGCCACACTGGGTCTGCAGCAGCTAAACATACGGTGATGCTGCATGCATGCTAAAAGAAATCTACTGGAACTGGTCCAAAGAAACATGGTTCTGCCCAACAGATCAGATTTAAAGGACATTTGGTATCTTTGTTTTCAGGGTACAGGGTTCCTCAGTGACGATGTGTCTTGCAAAATTATTTGTGCGCAACATGAAATAGACTTAAGTTGTTTGTTTGTTTTTTAAAGACCAAATTTTGCAACACATTCTCACACCCAAAGCGTCAAAATATGACGTGTGTGACCAAGCCTCGATTCAGGATGCCCCAGCGCGTCAGGAGACGACGTTCAGGGACGCATTGGGACACGTGGCTCCGCTGGCGTCAGTGTTTGACGCCGGCGGTCACACGGACATTATTAGACTATTTAACCTTCCCCTCACCCCAATCCTAACCTTAAGGTCAGTAACTGTGACCTTAAGGTTAGGATTGGGGTGAGGGGAAGGTTAAGTAGTTCACAAGTCGTTCTAATGTCCGTCTCACCACCGGCGTCGGATACCGACGCTCTGGGACGGTGCGTCATCAGCGTGTCCCTGATCGTCGTCTCCTGACGCGCTGGGGCGTCCCGAATCGTCATATACTCAGGCTTGGTCACACGCGTCATGTTTTGACGCTTTGGGTGTGAGAAGGTGTTGAATTTTGAACATCTTTACTTGCCTGCATCTCTCATTTTTAGTAGTTTGTGTTGCCAAGTTTGCATGAATTGTTGGTCTTGACCAATCCTCATCCCCCCTCTTCAACCACTGGTGAACTTTGTTCATCTGGGGGGGGGAGGTGGGCCTGGGGGATCCTGGCTGCTCATGTCTTGAGGTTAACCAGGCAGCTTTACATGAATGTCAGAGCCCTGTACATTTATTTTAAATAATCTGGAGTGTGTGGAGCCCAACAAAGTGGTAGGTTTTACGTTTCCTGGTATGTTGTTGCAGTGTTTTTTTAATCGTTGTGGTCAAATTAGGTTTATTTGCTCAGCCCCCTTTCACATGGGGTGTACTTACACCATCTTACGTCACTCTGCACACAAGTTAGGCACTTAGAAGTGAATTACATTTACAGCTATTAAAGTTGAAATTTGTATCTGTGTTGTTTCCCAGTAACATATAGTTCATAACTAGCATTCGTAATCCTACAATATGGGTTGGAATTTATGATGCCGAGCTGCTTTAACAAAGTCAAACAACTTTTTATTTAAACCACAAGTCAGGTCGGATTTATCCTTCCACAGCATTCGTGTCAGAGCTTTCTAGGCCTGGAGAAGTCAGAAAAAGGTTGCCTGAAGAAAAAAAAACATCCCTTTCATGAAAATGGTTTGAGGTCTTTTTCAAGAGCGGCTTTCTGCCCTCTGATTGACGTCATGCCTGGCCAGGGGTTTGCTCTGAAATAGGTCTTATTGCTAAGTTAGGAGACTCGTAGCGTACTGGAGGAACCTTTAAAACAACAAACAATGTGGCTGGGTGTCATATCTTCCCTCACATGTTCTGAGAGGTTTGCTTTGAAGGAGTTTCTGAAATCTGCTAGAGGTTCAGCAGCTTTGTCACCTAGAAAAGTGATCCAAAAGGAGGCTGGAGGAGTTGCAGCTGACCCACGGAGAGCCATGTCCAAGTCCAGGAACTATTAGCCAAAGTATTTTTTTTTTCATCTTTTTAAGTATCGACATCCTAATACAACAGTAATTTGCACTCGAAGCCACAAAGTTTTGTGCTTTCAGTTAAAATAAATGTACTTTAGTTCTGTTTTTAATTCAACAGGATTTCGTTGAATGCCCTTCTGCGTGGAACAGCTTCACGCTGAATGCTATTTGTTGTTATGCATTACTACCTCCATGCTTTTTTACTGTTTTTGTAAAGAGCATATGGTTCTGCTCATTTGCAGCTTGTGGTTTTCTGTCTCTGTCACTCTGCTGAGAAGTACCCACCAATTGAGTAATGCAGTTCCTGTTCCACTTTTTTAAATTCAGACAATCAGAACCTTTATTATCCTGAAACAATTCCATTTTATTACATTTAATAGAAACGGTTGGACTTGACTCCTTGGCTGAGCTCCATTAGAGGTTGCACAAACGGGTGTTTGACTTCACTTCCTTTGCTAATTCTGCACCAACATTTAAACAAATAGAGCGTATTTAAAATGTAATTTATTGCTGCACAACTGCTTTATTTGTAATGGTGAGGATCTGTCAGTGCTGTGAGGAGATTTGTATTTTCTTGGTTTGCTTTTTGAGTAGCTACATGACTAAAAATTGCCGAGTCTCCTGCAGAACTGTGTGACGTAAAAAGGATGTGGTAGGGCTAAAAGTTTGCATGCAACTTGATCCTAAAGCAGCATTTCTCATGATTCAAGATGTTAACGCTTTTTTCCCTTCTCGTTACAGACGACACATCAGCAAAAGAAGTCAGCAGGGTAATTTTTTTCTTAATTTTTAAAAGCTGCTAGCTAGACAAAAGGGATTTTAACAGTGCATACAAATCCTTGTTGACACATAATAATGAAAATAAAGTTTAACACATTTACCACAACATAGAGCTTTACAGTTTTTTTAAATACAAAAACATATTTAATGAAGTCAATTTTATGCACAAGTTAAAGCAACACCAAACAAGTTCCCCGCTTCTCTAGTGGTTGAAAGCAGAATTACAACAAACAACACTGTCGCAGGCTGTAGTAGCTAGCGCTAACAACGAGCTAATGCTAACACGAGCCAAGTGATGCTAAATAAGCCACAAAGTTTAAAGATCTACACTGTTGGACAAACAATATTCTTAATTCCAGCAGCAAGTAGCAACAAAGCCAGGTCACCATCAGTTTGTGATTCTGTAGCCTCCTATAGCTCCATCAAAAGAAAGTAGGCCCTGCCAGTGTTCACTCTGGTTTAAGCTCTTTGCTACACCTTCAAAGACATTACTCTTACATTTACTTCCAGACTCGATCATGATGGCAACAAAAAAGCTAAATTCTTTTACTTGTGTTTTTTACTGACGGTCAGTGAGCTGATGAAGCTAACTGCTAGCCGTTATATGAGCTACCGGCACAGCACATAGCTGTTGCCGTAAAGCAGTGAGAGGCCTTCCACTAGTGTTAGTACCGGAACAAGAACAACTGTTAAGCGCAGTTTCTAGTCAGCAGAGGGCTACAGAATGCTGTCCCATGTCATCACGGCGCTCAAGTTTATGGCTCAACAATCACTTTGAAGGCAATAGCTTAAAGTGTTAAATATATAAAAAACTACTATCAATTTTTATTTAACATTAAAAAACTAGCTTCATTGAATACAGTTGTTTGACCTAAAGACCCCCCCCCCCCCCCCCCCCCCCCCACACACACACACACATAGTAGGTGCACGCCTTTGTCATTCACATTGGGGGAAGCTGTTCTTCAGCTCTCGCAGCAGCGCCTTGGTCTTACACTCACAAACACACAAGAAAATAAATGAGGTTCCCTCAGCCCCTCAGTGCGTCATCCATACGTCTGTGCAAACAGGATGTGGGAGGGCAGAAGGCATCCCGTTGGGGGATGCTTTCTAGTGCACCGCTCTCCCTGCCGTCCTGTCCTCACCCTTACTGTAGTCGCAGAAATAGACGCCTCACTGGTCTTGTAAAAAAGGCAGAAGGTTTGTGATTTACGGAGCAGAACTTGTGAGCACCCCCCCCCCCCCCCCATATACACACAAACATTTGGCTGAACTAGGGTCAGTTTTCTACATTAAACACTACAGTATTAGTCCTGCTAAATTATGAAAGTTGTTGTACTGAGTTGCAATATCCGTGTGTCTTGTGTCCAGCAGTACCAGGACACAAACATGCAGGGTGTGGTGTATGAACTGAACAGCTACATGGAGCAGCGCCTCGACACTGGAGCAGACAACAAATTCTTGCTCTATGAGCTGTCCAACATCATCAAAACAGGTAAAAGTGAGCAAAGAGTTCTACATTTTTATCAGTCGTAATAATTGTATCCAAAAACAGAAACATTTAGGAAGAGTAAAACCCTGAAACATCAGCTTGTTTATGACGAATGCCTGGATGAACATCTCCCAAAATGAGCTTGGGGTCAAATTCTCTGAATACCACAGCAGAAGTTTTGAAAAGGAGGAGGATGTTCAGTGGTTTAAAAACAGTCAGAAAACATCTTTACATTTAAAACTGAGTTTGCTGTTCTTGTTGTAGAAGCTGCCTAATAAGACCCACACGCTGATTCAGCTAAAGAACAGCCGTTTGCTTGAGAAGGTCACAGGTCCTTATTCAGCATAAAAGACACTAAAGATGTTTTCAGAAGACACACCATGCCGGCATATCAGCGTAATTATGCCATGGCCTGTCTTATGAAAGCATCGTAGCAGCATGGTGATGCAGCTATTTCGCCACTTTCATGCCGCGAAGCTTGGTAGTGATATTACTGCAACGCTTGACATGCCATGATCACATGCGCAATTACCACCAAGCTCAAGCTGGTGTTGTGCCAACGTAGTTATCCCCGCCAGAATTTGTTTTCCCTACCAGTAGATTTGTTTCCCCTGTGTCGGGAGCGCGTGCCGGCGTGTCAGTTTGAGTTAGCCCCTCAAAATCTGTTTCGGCTGCAACCAGCCAAAAAGTGCGTGTACTAACCCTTACCCGAACCATAACCCCATAACAAACATCAAAATTAGCCCACGCAGAGTACTTTTATAAATTATAATTGTGCAAAACATACATTTCTGGTGACTGAGTGGTTATGGTTAGAGTAGGCGTCAGGGTGGGGCTTATTTTTTAGTGAGAGGGGGAACTCAAACCAACGTAACGCTGGCGCCCGACGCAGGGGAAACAAATTCTGGCGGGGGTAACTTCACTGGCACGGCACCTGCAACTATATTAAAAATGAAGGTAAAGATGGGCATAAATTTTGCTTCTGTGAACAGAATCAGCTGAGATGTCGATGCGGAGCTCCGGGAGCTTCTCTCCGTAGAGCTGAAGCTCAGATCACCAGCCAGTTCACGGGGGACTGTGTGGGACATACACCTATTGCTCATCAATAAAACTTAAGGAGCGTGCTTCAATCGCAATAACAAGCAAGTTATGCCTAAGCTAAAAGGAAGTCCGTGACAGGGCAGATACCCCACATGCCCTTTATACCTCCATCACGTAAAAGCACACGATCGCTCCATCTTACCGCCACTTATGAACAGCCAAAGGCTCCCTGATGCTGCCTCAGCTTTGCGGCAAATCAGTGGCATTGTTTTATGGTCTAGACCCTACACACGTAGCCGGGTATCCCACAAAATGAATGTATTTTCTACAGTTTGGCCAGTCATCCACAAAAGTGACTATATAGATCAACAAAAGCGATTCTTTCAAAAGTTCTGACCAAAGTGGAGATTCGCACATTTTCCGTTGTGGGCAGGTCGTCGTAAGTGAGAATGAGTTCTCAATTGACTCATCTGATTAAATAACGGTTAAATAAATGAAATAAATAAATACATTTTCTCGTGGATGTTAAGAACCACAGCCTTTCTGCATGGAGTTGCATGTTCTCCTCATGCATGCAGGGGTTTCCTCCGGTTTCTCCCACAGATCACAACATGCCCTATTGATTCACAATTGTACATCGCTTTGGACAAAAGCATCTGCCAGAAAAATAAACATAAAACCAGGGTTTTAGGTGTTGTAGCATCACTGCCCACTACAAAAATGTCTGACGTCACTTTTGCAACCCACGTTTCCACTCGCTTGCTTTTACAACTTCTCGATGTAGAAGACCTCGGGCGGAAAACTACGTCAAGGACGTATTTTTTGCCCACCACCTGCATCCAAGGAATGGTTTTTGAAAAAGATGCAAAGATTTAAGGAACTACTGCCCCCTACAGGCTTGGCATGCATTAGATTTGTAATTCATGATATCATGATGTATCTTTTGTTGTTTGAAACTCTTTTCTGTTAACGTGACAACCAAAATAAAGGCTCAGTCAATCAAAAGGTTACCACTGGATGTGCATCCACTACCTCCCGATCCAATCCAATTGGCTGTAGCCACATTGACAAACAGAAAACTGTCAAACGCTTTCAGTTTTGAAGCTATTGAGCTAAAATTCAGTTTTTCCACACAAGTCATTCACTTAAGATCTTGCAGTATCACATACGGTTCTGCATTTTATTTGACCAAACATAGCTTTTAACTCCATTTCTCAATGTAAGAACTTTTAAAGTCTGGTGTGAAAGGTGGTGGGAAAATGGTTCAGCAGCTTTAGAACAAAGCCCAAACTACCAGCTCCTCTGTTGGGACTCTGAGGTGTTCCCAGCCCAGAGAATTCCTCCAGCGTTTCCTGGGTCAACCTGTAGGGCCCGCAGAACATTCTCAAAACACCTATCCCAAAAGACCTCCTGACCAAATGCTCAAACCAGCTCAGCTGGCTCGGCTTGACATGGTGGCGCAACAGCTCTACTGAGAGTCCCCTCCGGATGTGCTAGCCTAAGGCTGCATCCGGCCACCTTGTGAGGGAAACCCATTTCAGCATCTCCAATTCACAAATCCTCTATCAGTCGTTACCATGAAGCTCAAGAACATGGATTAGGGTTGAAACAAACGTTGGCAAATGTGTTCAAATAAATTAAGGCTTTTATTTGTGTTTTTATTCAATTATTAATTAAGTCTAATGGTTACTTTTCTCTAAGTTTCTTAGATTTCACTGTAAATTAACATGAAAACCAAAGTCAGTGATGGAAATGTGCCAAAACCTTCCATTCTGTGCTTTGCAGTTGTATCAGAATGGAACTCAAACAAAACTATACCGCTTCACCCAAACAACACCGCTCATTAGCTTCTGGGATAATTTGTGTATTGTATGCACCAGAAGCCCATCTGTTGTCACATTGTATGATAACATGACCTATATAGGAGTGTGAAGTGGGACTGGGAGGGAGGACTGGGAGGGAGCTGAACCAAAGCTTTGGTCAGAGTATCCTCCTTATTTGGGTTTCTATTAGTAGATTATTAAATCATCTGAGTGATTTACTTTTTGACTTTTATTGTTGGCATAACTGCTAAAACACTTCTCCTGTGACCTCTTTGTCTTTTTGCCACAACAGCAACAAAAGCTGATAGTTTTGCACTTTACTTCCTGGGAGAATGCAACAATGTGAGTAGAAGTGAATAAACACACCAAGGTGGTGTCTTCCATCTTTGTTTCTCTTTTTATGTTGGTCTGTTCTTCTCAACAGAGTTTGTGTTTATTCACTCCCACGGGGCCTAAGGATGGCCATCCAAACCTCATCCCCTCTGGCCCAGTTGCATTTGGGACAACCATCGCCGCTTATGTTGCCAAAACTCGCAAAACACTGCTAGTGGAGGACATCAAGGGGGTATTGCTGCTTTCTTGAAACCATTACAAAGCTGTGTTGCTGAACTCGTATTTTTTAAGCTCCTGTGCGGCTTAGTAAGGTAAAAACCCAAACAGGAGTCTGTGTTTGCAGGACGAGCGATTTCCCGACGGCACAGGGCAGGACTCAGGGATCCATGTTCACTCTGTCCTGTGCCTCCCCATCCTCACTGCCATCGGGGACCTCATAGCCATCCTGGAGCTGCGTCGACATTGGGGCAAAGAGCCCTTCAACCTCAGTCACCAGGAGGTCAGTCTGATGGCACAAGACACACCAGTTGCACTTTCCCATAAAACACATGAAACATTCTTGAACGAGCTTTAGTTTTGCAGCACCGAATGCCGTGAAGTTCTTAAAAAAACATAAATGTACGTGTCGGTGAGAGCAGATATATTCCCAGATTAGTCATTTGTTGTGAGAAATGAATGCTGCTTAAATGCTTTCCCATTGAAACCGTAGAATTTTTTTGTGTTGATCAAGTAAAATGAATCCAAGTCTGGGAAACTGATTTAAGGCTCACAGATATTCACTTGTCTATAATCTGAATTGTGCACGATCGATTTGAAGCGTTGTGGGAATCAGTTTATTATCAAAACTGTTTCATATTTGTTTTTGTTATGATGCACTATAGAAGGCCTGTGCAGTGAATTAAAACATAACATCATGCAAAGAACTTTTGAAATTTAACAGCAAATTTAAAGAGCAAGTCACCCCCTACCAGAGTCTAACTCCACTCCCACTTCATGTTTGAAAAATGCAACAAATGCTGTTGCCAGGCAGACCGAGAGGGCGGAGCTGCTAACAAACACACACACACAGACTCACGACAGCATTGTGACATCATAATGTCCCAGTTTACATCATAGCATACCTCTTAGCCAATAGCGGAGGCAGATTTAAATTCAAATACAGTGCAGAGTTTTTACCCGACGACGGCACAACACTGACAGTTTTAGATAGATATTTAAATTTTAACTACGATGCACTGAAGTGCCAAATTATTGACGACACGTGTCTGCAGCACGATTAGACACTCGTTTATATAGTTTATCAGCCAAAAAAAGTTGATTTGGGGGTGACTTGCTCTTTAAGATGCTTGGGCTTCTATCAAATAAAACTTCATTTTACCATGTCCTGTAATTTTTCTAATGTACATGTTTGTGAATCTGAACAGTTACTGAATGCTGTTTAGTTTTTGCCGAGTACAGCTATAAAACATTAAACCAGCAAACAAATCCTGACATTAAATTAGTTTTTTTCTTTCTTAATTTAATGGATCTAACTTGGAACAATTATGTGCCTAAGATGAGCTGTTTTAAAAAGTCCACGTTTGTGATGTCACAAATGGGGAAATTTATATAAATCCACCTTTTATTTGTCAATGTTAGAGGAGCAGTGACTCTAATCCAAGTCCCTCTCAGATATTAGAGCTTCTCAGCTTATAGCAGCCTGAGCGGAGGGGGGGGTGGGGGGGGTGGGGGGGACCAGCCCTGAAATTACTCATTCTGGAAGGTACTGAAACTGTCGTGTATAAAACAGCTAAGATTGCTTTATGTGAGAAAGATTTAATGCAAAAACTTCATGAACATGTTTTTATAAACCGTATGACCCATATATGTTCTATAAGGAAGCCATTAAAAGTGATAGTTATGGGTCTATATTGGGACTTCTTTCTAAAATCTAGTTGTTTTGTTTTTTTCTAGGTTGCAACAGCAAACTTAGCATGGGCTTCTGTTGCCATTCATCAAGTACAGGTGAGCAAACGCTCACAAAGTCCTGATCTGATATTGAAACTGTCCTTTTTTAACTGGAATAATGTGCTGCGGTGCTCCACCAGAGACAAGCTGTACTCTAACGGTACCATTTATTATGTTCTTGGATGACTTTGTTTCTTCTGGTTCTGCGCTGGTGTAAATCCACTGTGTACAAGAGCTGGGTTGTCTTTGCACCGTCCAATCAAAGGAGGCATAGACTGAACAAACATCTCCCCTGGGATGTCATTATGCATTAAGAAAAGATGGTATAAGACCCCAGAGAAACGATGTCCCACTACAGCTCAGGCCAAGGTGGACCTCTGAGCCACAGGTAGCGGAGAAGCTCTGCAGATGCTTGGTTGTTACAGAAACACGAGCAGAAAGCCCTGTTGAGCTGGTTTGGTTGGAGAACACGCAGGATGCTTACATGTGCTTGGGATTCGATTATGTCTATCTGATCGTGACCTATATTTCTCTGCTAGGTGTGCAGAGGCCTTGCCAAACAGACTGAGCTCAATGACTTCCTACTAGATGTGTCAAAGTAAGAGCTGTTAATGAATAACAATGTTCTTAGTGTACTTTAAAAAAACAAAACCGAAATCAGCCCCAAATCTGAGAAGGTTTTGCATATTTTTCATCCAAAGCCTTGGATTCGATTGTATGCTCCTGCAACACGAGCTTTCCTCAACTTTAGGCCACTTTGAGTACAAACGTCCTCCGAAACTTCCCTTTTGTCAAACATCTCAATACACCTTTTCTCTTTTCACACAGAACATACTTTGATAACATCGTGGCAATAGATTCTCTACTTGAACATATCATGGTGAGTGTGGTTTATGTTCATTCATTGTCTTTGATACTGTGCATCGTGCAACACAGGGTGGAACTGTGTGTGCAGGGGCGACGGTGGCACAGGAGTTACAGTAGGTGCTCGCCCCGTAATCAGAAGGTTGCAACATTTACCATGCGTGTGCAAGAATGTTTGCATCAATTATATAAAACAAAAAGTGCTTAAGTGAGATTAAAAACAATGTATGCATGCACTTAATGTTTTCTTGTGGGCTAAAATATTCTGGGGTTTTTTTTGTTTGTTTGTTTGTTTGTTTTTTACAGATATATGCAAAAAACCTGGTGAATGCAGACAGATGTGCACTATTCCAGGTAGATCACGGCAACAAGGAACTGTACTCTGACCTATTTGATATAGGGGAAGAGAACGAAGGCAAGCCCATCTTTACGAAAACAAAAGAAATTAGGTGTGTAAAATTTGCCATCATCTATGAGTGATCTTCTGGAGAAATGTTTAATTTTTTTATTATCTTTTTTTTTGGAGGGGGGGGGGGGGGTTGTATTATTTACTCAAAAATAAAAGTAAATAAAATTCAATATCTGATTTAAAGTTATCTTTAAAGGTGAGGTACACTGAGAAACATTCATGACTTGTCCTTTTTCACCTGCAAGAACGTGAGAAGTCTCTTCAACGCCTATTTCCTGCATTAGCCAGAAAATATTTGGAGAAATCCTCAGGTCAAAAAAGCCAGCTCTGCTGTAACTTTGCTTTCATGGACGCACCCTGCCTAGCAACCAGGAAAGGCTAAGTTGCCAGTAGAAACTAACCGTTAGAATTAGCAAGTTCACAACATGGCTGAACACATTTAGGCTTGTGTTGTTGGTGGAGAACAAACCGAATCAAGATGAAGTTTGTTCCCAGGTAAAGTTTTACACCCAGAATAGTGCAGTGGACAATCAATCAACGTGGAACGTAAAATAAAAAACACAAAATAAAGTAAAAAATGTTGCAACATATTTTGTTAAAACACATCAATGTTGCAATTAGAAACAAAGAAGAGTGAACGGAAACGGTGAAAGAGTCACATGTCTGTTAGCCAATCAGAGACGAGATGCTTACAGATCATGAATATTAATGAGTAAGACTCAAAATCCTGCTGTTTCCTGATCCTGATTGGATGAAGTTCCTGAAACAGCAGCGCCAGAGCTTTGTTTCCACAGATAACAACTCACAAAGCATTCATTTATACTAGAGACCACTGCAGATTTATTGAAATAACAGGTCTATGCCCTCTTTAGCATGGAGTTTCATCACTTTTATATCACTGCTGTACGTGTTGTTTTACTGAAATGCTGTTTACCCGTTTTTTTCTCGTGTTTTTGTAGATTTTCTATAGACAAAGGAATAGCTGGCCAAGTAGCTCGGACAGGGGAAGTCTTAAACATCCCAGATGCCTATGCAGACCCAAGGTTCAACCGGTAAACAGAGTCTATGCAGACTTTAACATGGTTTTAAAATGCTAAACCAGCCATTCTAATAGTGATTAAACATGCAGCACTTCTACCATAACGTCCGACTGATGCACCGTTGTTGTCCGTGTGTTCCCCGGCAGAGAGGTAGACCTCAAAACTGGCTACACCACACGGAACATCCTGTGCATGCCCATCGTGAGCAGGGGGACCGTTATAGGTGTGGTGCAGATGGTGAACAAGTTAAGCGGAAGTGCCTTCACTAAAACAGATGAGAACAACTTCAAGATGTTTGCTGTCTTTTGTGCTCTGGCCTTACACTGTGCAAATGTGAGTACACCACGTGACCCCCATTTACCCCTTTTGCAGCTTTCTTGACTTGTTTTTTGTGGTTATTTTTCATTTATTTACCACACAGAGTGCAGTTTCTTTTCAGACTGCACATTTGCCCAAAAATGAGTAAAAATCCGTGACTGTTCATTTCATAAATTATGCTAACTGCCAGAGCTTGCATTGTGTGGTCTGTGTGTCAAAGCTCTCAGCGGGACCTGAACCACAGTTGGTGCGACACGCTTACGCAGGAGCAGCGTCACAACGTTGGTTTTAAAACTGATGCGGGATGTTAATATTTTAAATACAAGCGCTCTACCTCTGTCCAGTGACAGGATTTATGTTCAGCTGAAATTTATGCCTCGTGTCTCTTGGGAGACTCACTTGAGCCAGCCCTTAATTCATTGTGATTTATGGTGGAAGGTGCAGGCCCAGGCGCCTGTATTTGACCATAGTGGACCAATTTTTTCTTTATTTAAGGGGAAAACGGAAGGAGAAAAAAAACAGATGGGGGGGGACAACTTTTTTATTGTAGTAATTCTAGCGGTGACGTATTAAGGTTTTAATAACGACATTGTGTGCAATATTTCTGTGGCATTTACAGCGCAGGAGTGTTCAGCGTCTCTCTCTCTTGACATCTTAAAGACTGTGATTTCCCCTGTCGGATCCCTGCAGATGTACCACAGGATCCGGCACTCTGAATGCATCTACAGAGTGACGATGGAGAAACTGTCCTATCACAGCATCTGCACTTCAGAGGAGTGGAAGACCCTTACCCAGCTCAACCTCCCTGAACCCATTTATAAAGAAATAGAAACGTGAGCCCCCCCCCCCCCCCCCCCCACACACACACACACACACACACACACACACACACACACACACACACACACACACACACACACACAAATCTCTGATCATAGGATACATTCACGTAGACTTGAGGACATCTTCAATGTCCCTTCCTGTTTTCTCCAGGTTCCAGTTTGACATCAGTCCCTTTGAGGAGATCTGGCCAGCTGTTTTCATCTACATGGTTCATAACTCGTGTGGAAAGAGCAGGTATTGTCCAGAGCAGTTGTGTTAAAACCCGTCAGCAAAAGAAATGTAAACATTGTTTTTTTCATGTATTATTTTTGAATGTAGTTTTGAGCTGGAGAAGCTGTGTAGGTTCACCATGTCCGTCCGGAAAAACTACCGCCGTGTGCCCTACCACAACTGGAAGCATGCGGTGACGGTGGCACACTGTATGTACGCCATCCTACAGAAAACACCTGGGATCTTCACGGAGCTAGAGGTTTGCCCTGAAGCCTGTTTCATTTCATCTTATTTAAAAAGAAAGATATAAAGAAATTAAATCAGTCAACCTGTTTTACAGAAGAAAGGTTTGCTGATAGCCTGCTTGTGCCACGACCTGGATCACCGGGGTTATAGCAACACGTACCTGCAGAAGTTCGACCATCCACTGGCCGCTCTGTACTCCACCTCCACCATGGAGCAGCACCACTTCTCTCAAACTGTCTCCATCCTGCAGGTAGAGCTCAACTAGGGTTCACTGTTGTTTTTATTCACACATCCACAAATTCTAAATCAAAGTGTTCACAAAAACAAAAGGGATCAATTTGAACAACCGAACAACAAAATAAATATAAAATTTCACTTGAGCGATTCTGACTACAGCGATTTCCTGACTATTGACCTCACCTGAGCCGCACCCACTGTATTGAAAATATACATAATGTATGCCACACCTTTCTATATTGTATATTATATATTGTATATATTGTTGAGAAATGTACAGAGATTTTTTTTTTTCACTTTTAGTCAAAAACATAGCGGTAACACATATACGTGCAATAAATGCTTTTTTCCAAACAGTGCCAGAAACACAGCTGGTTAAAAATAAACACCGGTACAGTAGCCGACCTGGAAAAGCCATTGATTGCTGTATTCACCTTCCTCCTGCACACTAAAACCACTAAAGTCGTAGTTTTCTGTGTTGGAACTGAACAGGTTTACTTCGTCACACACTACTTCAGTCTCTCTTTTGTTGTCGTCAGTGTCACCTTCGTGCAGAGTCTTGTAAAAATCTATATTTGAGACACGTTTGAGCTGCAGTGTTCAAAGCATCTAAAAAAGTAGCTGCACATTGTGTGGATATTACGGTAGATTTCTAAGAGAAGCAGCGTTGCCAATGCCAGTCTAGAATTGGACTTAGTGCAAAAGAAATGTTAAAGCTGCTGCCAGTGGCTCATTAGGATTGCTAGTAACAATAAATAGGGCAATTTTTCTCACCTGTTTTGTCAATATCCGGTTGTAATCAATGAGTAAATTTATTGCGATTTTTTTGGGTGAATTTTGTCTATACCCTAAAAGACATAACATGCTGTTTGCAATTTATTTACATGATGTGATGTATAATGTACCTTTTTTAAGCTTTAAGACTTGAAAATGGGCAGATACTGAAACTGAATTTCAAATTTAGCAGTAATAAGGTTGCCTCGGGGCTTGTGCACTCTTAAAAACACTTTTTGTGGATTCAAAAACTAAAAACATTTACTACTTGTTTAGATCGTTTCACAGATGCCCATTTTTTGTGCTTTTATGAATTTAGAGCTAACACCTTGAACTTGTTGAAGCCGTCCTAAGTGCAACAAGGTGCATTGTCCCACGCACGTTACTAGGCAATACTTGGTCAGCAGTAACGTTAGAAATCCCCTCAAAAGCTTTAAGTCAAAGAGAACCCACCAATGACAGGGCCCAAAGGATCCCCTGTAGAACGATGTCTAACAACCAGCTTTCTTTCCTGTTAGAGTATCTCCCATAAAATAAGGACAGAACAGGTTCATTTCCAGTGCCCACACAAAGTTTATAATTACACTCTTCTGCCCCGTCCAGGATCTGCAGAAGGAGACTGAAGTCCACCTTCAGATTTCAGCCTGTCGCAGTCTAGCTGAGCTGAACGCCTCATAAGTGGAGCTTTTGCTTTTTTATTGATCTCTTTGTTTTTCATAGCTGGAAGGGCACAATATTTTCTCCAACCTGAATTCCAGCGAATACGAGCAGGTGCTGGAGATCATTCGAAAGGCCATCATCGCCACAGACCTGGCCCTGTACTTCAACAACCACCAGCAGCTGACAGAGCTTCTGACGGTGGGGGGGCTGGACTTGAACAACCACTCGCACAGGTCAGGCCTTGCAGCAACGCGAGACTAATTTAAGGGCTTAAATGGCACTTTGGGTATTTCTGCATGGACATAACGAGGCTCTGCTCCCCTCTAGGGACCGTGTGATTGGTCTGATGATGACAGCATGTGACCTGTGTTCTGTTACCAAGCGGTGGCAAGTCACACGACTCATAGCTAACGACATCTATGCTGAGTTCTGGGCTGAGGTACAGTGGGATACTGTTCAAGCTGAAACTGGTTTAGTGTCACGATCATGCCTCCAGTCAGACCTCTTTTCTTGCCTGTGTTCTTTTCTAACAACGTTGCATGTCTCACTATTTGAATTTTGCCCAAAATAGTGCTGTCAGGTGGTCAGGAGGTCTGTCAGGGTACGCAAACATAAAAGGGTTCTTGTTGTTTTCTTCCTCCACAGGGGGATGAGATGAAGAAGATTGGAATTCAGCCAATTCCTATGATGGACAGAGACAAGAAGGATGAGGTTCCTCAAGGCCAAGTAAGACCTGTGCATTAACTGATGTGTCTATGTTTATTTACCTCTTTTGTTGGTTTTTCATTCAAACATAGGGGTGATTTGAGCGGTGGGAAAGCACGTTCCAGAGTTCACCCTCTACTACATATGTCACACCCCCACTTCCTATCCAAACCACCCTGCCTCTACGTAGAAAAAGTGAATCCATCCTTGTTAAATGATGAGTTATCTGTGCTGAACCACATTATTTGGAATTATCACATTCACCAGATGCTCTCAGACCAGGAGAGTTTAGAAATCACTTCAACGGAAAAGGTCGGACAACAACAGATCCCAACACGTCGTTCCTCGCTCCAAAGTAATTCCAGAACAAAAGGAAGCCAGAACATCAGACAGAACCTTGCAGACCTCACTTGGCTCACATTAAGGTCTGAAATCATGATTCAACCATAAGAAAAATTTGACAAAGTCCACGGCCCTAACACCGGTCTTATATTTGCTTTCAAAATCAACATATTGATGATTCTCCAGACCTTTATGAAACTGTTCTGTAAATGACAAAAGTGGAACTTTATTGGAGTGCGTCATGTTTTCTCTGGTGTAAAGTTGAAGTCGCATTAGTCAGCACACACTGGTGTTCAGAGCCTTCTTCCCGTAGAGATCAACCCACAAGCGACTCATATTCTGACGAGTACTGTAAATGTGCTGATAAAACAAGTGAACTTGGTCTTTAAAATAAAACTTTTAGCAACCAACTTATCAAATATTTTGCTGATCTTTAAAAATGAATTTGGTGAGGATTACATATTAAATTACAGATGTACGCTTAGTTGATGAATTAATTTAACATGTGACACAGTCCCCCATTATAAATGATACATGATCATTAGATATTAATAAGTCAAAATTCTAAAGAGCAACAATGAATCTAAAATGTTTATTTTCTATTTTTAAGGTGGGATTCTACAACTCCGTTGCTATTCCATGCTACACAACGCTATCAGACCTTTTCCCTCCATCCAGTCTGCTTTTAAAAGCCTGCAAGTAAGTTTCAGAAACTACACCTGACTGATATTTTTTAGGTTTCCAAGAGAGAAAACTGTTCACATCAACACTTTCCATCACAAATTTGACATCTGAGGTCAGTTTGGCCAGCTGACCAATCAAATTAAATTAGAGGCTATATAGTAAGTAAGTAAGTAAAGTTTATTTGTAGAGCGCCTTTCACAGATATAAATCACAAAGCGCTGTACAACATGAGTAAAATCAGGGCAAATACCTCAAACCAATAAAAACATCATAAAAACAATAGCAGTGACAACAATAGTAACCACAATCAGGAGTAAAAACAAAGTCAAGTTGTGAACAAGAACAAAGCCATCTTTTAGAATATTTAGCGGGGGAAAGCCTGGATGAAAAGGTGAGTTTTAAGATGTTTTTTGAAGACCTCTACAGATTTGAAGAGACGGAGATTTGAAGGCAGACTGTTCCAAAGTCTGGGGGCAATAGACTGAAAGGCCCTGTCCCCTTTGGTTTTTAGTCTGGTTCGAGGAACAGCCAGGAGGTTTTCAGATGTGGATCGGAGGTTCCGTGAGGTGGTGTGTGGGGATAAAAGCTCAGATAGGTAGCTTGGACCCCAATAGACCCCATCATGCAGTACAAGCCCGCATTCCACGTGCTAAACACACTTGCTGCTGCGTTAATGTAAAATTTTACAAACATAATTGTGTAACCTTTTGAAAATTAAACATCAGACTGAAACAGAAATCTGTTGTTTTCCTCATGGTGACGCATCAGAGCGTCTGTGTTTCTGCTTTCAACTTAAACAGGCGTGCAAAGGACGTATTTACGACTGTTATTGACGGTTTTCAAACAGGACTGCATTGCACATTTGCTTGCCCTTCTGCTGCTTTGTAAAATGTGTCCTTGATCTGCGGGGAATGCAAACAAAATGAGCGGTGTAATATACATAAGCCCCAGCTGTACGTCAGCACCCAGCACTGAGTGGGCAGCGGGCCTAGACCCCACGGAGCCCTGCAGCTCGTTCTGGGATCTGCTAAAGACCCTTAAACTGGATCAGGCTGGCTAATCGAATAGGATGGCAACAAAGGGTGGCACTTTTTGCAACCGTAGAGTCCTAGTTTCTGAATCACAACTCTGTTTTTGCTGTGAACATTTCCTTCAAAGTGTTTACACTATAAGGGTCCCTTTATTAACGTTACTTAGTGCATTATTAAGCATTAATAAACAAAGGGTCTCTTTATTAATGTAAGGTTAGGACAATAGGCAGGGGGGATGTCTGCTTAGTAATGCATTACGTAATATGGTTAAACAGTTGTTAATGCATTATTAAATAAAGTGTTAAGTAACATTAATAAAGGGACCCTTGTTGTAAAGTGTTACCAAGTCTTTCCCCCTGCACTGCATAAAAGTTCTTATGTCTGATCCACGAGTTTCATGTTTGCAGGGCTAACCTGAGTCATTGGGAGCAGATAGCACGAGGAGAGGTGGAGGACGTCCTGCCCAGTCGGCCTTGTGATCCAGGCCCTGTCAAGGTGGATAATTGACTACCAAAGGGGCTGCTGGCCCAGCAAAGAAATCCGAACTGAATCCTGCCACGGACCAGGAACTTGGAAGAGGACGAACCACATCCTGTGTCAGTGGGAAGTCAGACTAGCTCGGAGAGACTTGACTTTGAAAACACACAGTTACCTCACTGGGTGACGGAGGTGTCTACACTGACGGTTTCACCGGTCCCAGAGACTGACGGATGTTCCTTGGGGAGGGACTTCAGCCCCTACATCCTCCCAGCGTGGGGGTTTATTTGGTGGAATGGCCTTGTGTCATTTCAGTAGTTTTATTTGTTTTTTCTTTATTTTAACTGATTCCATTTTGGTCATGTATTTGCAGAGGCCTTACTCTGAACCTTTAAAAATGCTTGGACATGTGGATTTATTTTAATGTTTTCAGTTCAGGCTCCTTTTGAAGTGGTACTGTTTGCCTTTTGTGTTAAGCTTATCAGACACACGCTATTTCAGCAAGGTATTCCCAGAGACGGAAGGAATGTGTAGAGGTGATGTATGGCATAGTGACACTTTATGGAAAAGGTGGGCTTTTTAGAATGTGCTTTATTTTTAAAAGCAAATGTCCTTTGCGGTACTTGAATAAATACATGCAACCTATTCTATGTGGGGATTGCAGAAATCCATCTAGAAACCTAGATAAACTGTGATGAGGAGTTAATGTCAACGCTTGTGAGCACAGTCACAAGAGAGTCACACTGTTTGAAGTCTGAGGTGGATCCTCCAGCGCTTCACGCACCCCTCCTAGCACATAGGAACCTGCTGCACCCGTGTCTTTCTTTAAAAAGGATCCAGCCCAGTTTTCTGTGCTTCATTTCCTCTCGTGTTGCCATACCTAACGCAGCATGTTGGTGAGATGATCCTTTATGGTGTGCAGTTGCTATATAGGCAGGCAGAAAAAAAAGTCCCTTTCAGTCACATGTCTTACCCTCCCATGATTAGGTTTTACTAAAACATGTCTGTCGCTGGGTTTGCAGCTCAAGTGTGTCATTTAGATATTTTGTATGGGCTTCACTGATGTCCAGGCTGTAGAAGGATGCGAAGCATCCTCATTTCAGAAATCCTACCAGGAAAGAGACTAATTCAGACTTTTTTTTTTCTTTTCCAATGAGTTTCCAAGATCTTCCAAAAGGCAAGTTATTTTGTCGTAATCTGTCCTTCCGGTGGGCAATGTCCCGCCAAGACGTGACACTTCTGCTCAAGTCTTTCTCGTTTCTTTTTACATTTTATTTAACTTTTTATACGGCTGGTACTGTGGAGTGTCATGAATGTACATTTTGATGAATGTTTTATTTTTTAAATGAAATGTAGATTACAGGAGGTGGTGTGTGGGTGAGTGCGCCATCAGCTTTCTGTGTGTGCGTGTGTGTGTGTGTGTGTGTGTGTGTGTGTGTGTGCGTGCGTGCGTGCGTGCGTGCGTGTGTGTGTGTGTGTGTGTGTGTGTGTGCGTGCGTGCGTGCGTGCGTGCGTGCGTGCGCTGAAATGATTTTATTTTTTTCTAGGATTGCTTCCAGTAAGCTACAACCAAGAGCAACAATTAGCATGCACCTTACCTGAAGTTTCTGTATAACCTCGCATAATGTGGTAAAATCTGTGTATAGTGTGTACAATCTAGGACTTGGCTTGTACAGACTGAGATGTGTGTTCTGATGGTGCTAAATGGAATGGCAGTTGTGCACTTTTTTACTCTGTGTGTGTGTGTGTGTGTGTGTGTGTGTGTGTGTGTGTGTGTGTGTGTGTGTGTGTGTGTGTGTGTGTGTGTGTGTGTGTGTGTGTGTGTGTGTGTGTGTGTGCCCTTTTCCTTATTTTTTCACTCCATCCAACATGATAGTCACTGCACTGTCCCTCCTTTCCAGCACCCGTTATATCCCATTGTCATGTTTAGCTTAGATCATTATCATTATTATTAATTATTATTATTATTATTATCACTGTTGTAATTTACCTAGAGTTAAATTTAAATTAACTTAAATTTTTTATACAAAGAAAAGTAATGTTTGCCTTTTTTGTTTTGTACAAAGTAAACATTAAGATAAATTAAGCAGACTAGACATGTTACTGTTACCCAGAATAACTGAGGAATGTCTCAACTGTAAATGTACGAGCCGTAGCCCAAATGACTTTTATTAAATACATCTCTAAGAAAAATGTGTGTCGGTGCCTATTTGTTTATTTATTTTTTATCCTTTTCTTGTACGTTTTTTCTTGGAGTCTTTTGTCTAAGCTGTGAATCCAAACAAAGCAGGAAATACATGATGAGAAGTTCTTGATTGGATTCACATCTATGAAGCTTAAGCTGCAGCTTATTTTGAATTAAAGTTTATTTAAATAATTTAGCTGAAATAAAATATTAAAGTCATATTTGAATAAAGATTTTACACAAACAACTTCAATAACCACATATTGAAAGCTTTTAATGATACATGAACAGCAAAAGAGGCAATAAAATTTTAAATGAAATTGATATTATTAGCAATATATCCACTATTGGGGGTTAAATGTGTTCTATTTATAAAATATTTACAACAAGTGATATTACATAGTACAATGGTTAAAAATAGCTGTTATGTGACGCATTTCATTAGAGCATGACTTGATTTTTTTGTTTCTTCATGTTCAGCTTTGCCATCTGGGTGCTTTCCTACTCTGGTCATTCCATCCCCAAGGCTGTCCTTCCCCCTTCCTTCATGACATCAGGCTTCTCTTGCTCACAACACAGCTTTTTTTAAACAACAGGATTACACAGCATGTTAATTCAAGTGTTTAAAGATCAAACAGTTACCCTCCAATAATTACCCAACAAACTGTGTAAACTTTAATGAAACTGTGACAACAAGAAACATGTGCGTCAGTGAGACATGTGGAGCAAATGGGGGATATTTGTTAAGAGTTCATTGTTTCATTGTTCAAGAGATTATAGAGAACGCTCCTGGTATTTGCAGTCTAAACAGCGTACTCCTTGTTGCTTCTGGCTCGATTCAGTTCCAAACACTCATGCCCATTAAATTAGTTACACCTGACCTGAGACATGTTGTCTAAGGACAGCTCGGGGAAAAAAAATTTTTTTAAAATACACATACACACACCAGCTGCTGATGGACCAAACAGTTGCCCAAGACTTTAGGCCCGACACACCAACCTGTGTACGGCTTGGTTTGATTACAATGCTGCACTCGTGCATCAGTTAGAGCTGTACAGCATCAACAGGAGTCTGAGAGCCTTCATTGCAAACTCAATGCGGCTTTTGGAAATCACCCTTGAGACTAATTGCACAAGTCTCCATCACATGTGGCATATACCAAGGAGACGCCCTGTCCCCACTGCTATTCTGTATAGGTCGGAACCCCCTCAGCCAAATAATCAACAAGGCTGACTATGGATACCAACTCAAGAATGGAACCACAATCAGCCACCTTCTCTACATGGATGACATAAAGCGGTTCGCCAAGAGCGAGCGAGACATTGGCTCACTGATCCACACCACCAGGATCTTAGGCACTGTTATCGGAATGTCATTCAGACATGAGAAGTGTGGTCGGATGGTGAAAAAGAAAAGGAAGGTAGTCCACACAGAAGGGGTCTCACTCCCAGAAGGAACAATAGCAGACATTGAGGACAACTACAAGTAACCACGATGAGGACACAAGGAAAGGACCTACAGGCAAAGAGTAAGGCAAGTCCTAAGAGGTCAGCTCAATGGCACGAACAGGATCTAGGCAACAAACAGGTACATCCTGCCAGCAATCAGATATCCTGCAAGAATAATAAGCTAGCTAAAGGAACAAAGTCCAGCAGCCTGAGAGTGTATACATATATGTGTGTGTGTGTGTGTGTGTGTGTGTGTGTGTGTGTGTGTGTGTGTGTGTGTGTGTGTGTGTGTGTGTGTGTGTGTGTGTGTGTGTGTGTGAAGCAAAGCTAAATCGTTTATGGATTGAACTATAAATGACCCATAAATGTAATGAGGCATTTGTTAAGGTACTCAAGTAATCCTAACTAAACTGCATCAATTTTTCTATAAAATCAATCGCCTCCATCAGTTGTAATAATCATCTTCACTAGCCTAGTGAACTAGACCAAATTCTTGCTTTGCAAAGTTTAAATAATACATTTATTTAGTCTGGCTTGCCAGGCTACATCTTCACAACTTCATGGTTTATTTTTATGGTGCGTTTAATGTAGATGGGGTCGTGTGAATTAGTATCATTTTCTGCGCTTTTGGCTACTTTTCTTTTAAATAGGTACTATACCTGTAAGCACAAAACTCTGTATACCAAAATGTTACTCGTTTTGAATTTTAGGGTTACATTTTGCACAAAACTGACGATCTAACGCTTAATGCTAATTTCGGTTAGGACCTGAAAGCTCACCAGTACGATTATTCCCAAGTCCATGAACGCAACAGACGCGTTACGCACGTCTGTCTCCATGGCAACACAAGAGGTGCTTTTATACTTCTCCGTCTGCGTCGGGACGGAGACACGCAACGCCAAAAAGCTCGTGAAAGCTAAAAGAAAGTTTGTTTTTCTGCTAATAGCTACTACAAGCTACCTTGTGAGTTTTTCCCCGTTTAAATTAGTCAGTGTTTTTGCTGTTACAACCATTATGACATAATATATTTACATGAAAACTAACTTAATTGTTTGACTACAATTGTCCAAAAGTTCGTTATTGGGTAAACATCTGCTTGCTAACTAACAGTTATGCTAAAACGCCATTAAAATTGATACTGTCGGTCTTTATTAGCTAGCTGTGACTATGCTAACGCCACAAACTTTAGAAGTAAATACAATTGTTTAAAATCACTTCTGTGTCGGTGACACCACAGCTAGACCCCCACAGCCGTGTCCCGCAGCTGTTGGGAGGGTGACGTTCACACGCTGCTGCTGGCTGCTGAAGCCGCTCAGAAGGATGATATTCTGACTTTTACTCATCAAGCCATCTGGGGCCCAGCAGCCTGAACTGGAGTCAACCTCCCAAAGAGACACAGCAGCTTCTCTGGAGCGCTTCACAGAGCCAAGAAGAAAGTTCTAACTCCCCGGCACTCAAGAACAAACAAAGACGCTGGCCTGTGTCAAGAAAAAAGAAATGGAAGCATCTCCCTCTGAGAACACTTCTGGCACTGCTTTTGTAGAGTCTGAGGTCTCTAGGTCAAAACAAGATCAGACTAAAGATTATTCATCGCATGCCGGCACAATAGGAGATGCAACTGAAATAGATTCTTGTCCTTCGGATGTTCTGACAAACCAGCTAAAAGGCTGTTCTCAGAGAGAATCGGACTCTTTATCGCACCCAAAGGGAAGCGTGCAGTTTTCCTTGAGTCACTCCAACCATGAAGGCCTGAATAATGAAGGCAGACTGGAGAGGAAACAGTGGGTTGATAAGGAAGTTGCAACCAAACAGGTCGTGTTGGCAGAAAGAAATTTTGCTGAAGCTTGTGAGCAGAAACTACAAAAGGTATTAAAAATAAAGTTACCCACGCTAAGCCAAGTAGATTTGTAATTTAATGTGTGCGTTTTCCTTTTGCACAAAGGAGTTGAAAAAGTTGTCAGTGCAGAGCCGGCCCAGCAGAGACCGCCTTGCGGTGTTCAGTGACGTCTTTGATGATGTATGTGAAGGCTCGCCAGTATTTGGACACATCCTGAGGGAAATCAAGGTTTTTCCATTTCCTCTGTACCCTCTAGCACATTTTTAGCATGTGCCGTCAGATGTGTTTGAGCCAAAAGAGACTGGATCCCTGGTGTGGTAAGTGGAGCAACCATCGGAACCTGGTCTTCGTGCATCAGTGAGCAGGACTTCAGACGGCAGTGCCTCCGTCACCACTCATTCACCTAAAATGTAATGTGTCATGCAAGTTTGTTCCACCTGACGCTGTTGCTCATGCATTCAGTGAAACAGTTTCACATGTGCAAAGGTTTACATAGCTCTGTATTCGTTGTGCGCATTTTTCACTTTTGCAGATTAGAATATAATTAATACCATTTGCTGTAAAAAAACACTAATAGACTTTTATATCTGACCTGAGATGTCTGTCCGTCCGTTTGTTTGTTCATTCAGTTTAAAACGTATAAACAGTTGAATTAAATAACAAATGTTTCTTGACAGACAAAAATGCTGATTATTTTCTGTAGCGTTTTTGGCACATTCACTGTAATTTTAAAGGTACAAATTCTTACTTAAAAATGGGACTCATTTCAAATTAAAGACCCAAATTCCCAGATCTGAAAGAACATTTTAAAAAGAGTAAAGCATCTTTAAACAACAAGAAAATTCTAGTTGTCATTTTAGAATTACCCCGTCCTGGATGAATGAGAGTACACACACCATTACTACGAAACATGCAGTGACATATGATCTCTTTTTTTTTTCAGGCAGATTATGATTTATATGCGAACCACTTGATACGTTCCCATTCCTCAACTCTAAACATGGTAAAATGCACTGCCTTTGTAATGAATTGTATTTTTATCAAACAATTATGTAGTTTTCTGCTTTAGTTTTCCTTCTCTTGTTCCTAGTGCTCACAGCCACTGAGTGATTCAGTCAAAGACACTGATGTGAAGGAAATGGGTGAAAAAGAGCTGGACAATGCTCCAAAACAGGTGTGCATGCTGGAACAAGAAGCTAGAAGAGCTCTGGAGGAGAAGAAACGGTACTAGAATGATTTATAAAGCTAAATAAGAGGAAGTGCATTTTACTGGTTTAGGTTTCTGCTCTTTTAACATCAGATTCCAACACGAGTTGCAGAAAATTTCAGCTGTAATCGGTTCAGAAGACAACCTGAAGAGTGAGTCCGCATTAAACCGTCCTGAAGGGAAAGTGGTGCACACACACCTAGCATGTGTACCGTGCAAACAGATGCTAGGAGAGTTCTGTGAGATCACTTAACTCAACAGTGCCTTCTGATGATCAGCTGTGATGCATGCATACAAACAGATCCATTATGATTCACCATTTTACATTGACTTGTTTCCTCCTCTGCGTGTGAGCAGATACATCTCTGTCCATGCTCCAGGACAGTGCTAACATCCCTCAGCTCAGGCTTCAGGTGCTTAAAATAAGAAAGGAGATTCAAGACCTGGAGAAGGAGATTGGTGAAAATCTGGTGTACGACGTTAGAACTTCTGCTACTGAACGGCGTATCAAAGAAGTTAAGGTGTAAAAGCTGCATCAGACCAACTCAATATCTACTTCATCCTGGGTATCAAGAAGTATCTGTGCATTTTAGCATGTTGTTTACATGTTTTTCCATGTTGCTTCCCTCCAGACTGAAAGTATGAAACTAATAGCCTCAAATAACCGTCTGAGGACCATCAGCAAGGCAAGGCAATTCATCTTTTTAAGAGAAATCTAAGCATTACATGTTTGCATTTTCTAAACTCTTTGGTAATCTGTAATCTTTAAGGATTTTGAGGAAAAAATCAATGAGGTGCTGAACACAGAGAAAGTGAACAAGAGCCTAAGACGGTATGTGGTGCGTGCTTCTCAGTATCTGACACGTATTTACGTCTTTGAACTTCTTTTACTAAGATTTGGGTTTTTTGTGTTTCAACCCCTGCAGGATGTTGTGGAGTGAAATATTTGGTGATCTCCAAACAGATGGCGAATAGTCTCAGTGAGGAAATCAAAGTTAGAGCATTTGTTGAAAATAATAAAAGAAAACATGCAATAAACTTTCAAAAGTGAAAAAATGTGATCATTTAAATGGGACATAGGACTTATTTCCTAGGTTTTAATAGTTCTATGGTTGATACAAAACACGTTTATGACGAACCCTGCATTAAGTTCCCTCCCACATAAAGCAATTAAATTCATTTTATTTTTTACTTTTTTAATACCTTCCAGAATGAGCCATTTCAGTGCATTGTCACTGTAAAGCCTCTGTCAAACAATGCTGCCGTAAAGCTGAGAGGGCATCAGGCAGTCTTTGGTCATTTATAAGTGGTCCAACTTTGGCAGTAATGTGGCGTGATCAAACGATTACACAATGGCGGCATAAAGGGGCTGTGGGGGCGGTCTCTGTGCTGTCACAGACTTCATTTCAGCTTGAACGTAACTTGCTTTTTATTGCGATTGAAACTGCTCCTTATGTCCTTTTCACAAGCCGTTGCTAAAGGTGTCTGGCCCTCACAGTCCTCATGAAGTGTCTGGTGATCTGCACTTTAACGCTAACAGAGAACCTCCCAGAGCTCTAGTTTGCCATCTCAGCTGATTCTGTTTACAGAAGTGAAACTTATGCTCGTGTTTAATTTCATTTTCAATATAGTTTTTGGCTGGGGCTCGGTGGTAATTCCACACATGATCATGATACCACCTTCTGTTGCGCCTATTCGCCATTCAGAGATCTGGCATTGCAGTGGTATTACTACAAAGTACAAAGCATCGCCATCCCACCACACTTTCATAAGGTACACTGGCGGCAGTGTTACTCAGATTTGCCAGCATCGGGTGTCTTTTAAGGTGTAAAATTGCCTGTATTTAACATAGAGCCTTCCAGAGTACTGGAACCCCCCCAACACCACCAGCAGGCAAGGTGGGTTAAGTGTCTTGCCCAAGGACACAGCGACAGGCTGAGCAGGGCTCGAACCTGCAACCTTCCAATTATGGGGCGAGCACTTAACTCCTGTGCCACCGTCGTCCTTATGAAAGCAGCTAAAGAAAAAAAAGCTAGAGATCTCCACGCCCACACATCCCCCACTCAGGTTGCTATAAGCTGAGAAGCTCCGATATCAAAGGGATACTTGAATAGAGCCGCTGGTCCTCCAGCAGCAGCAGCTCTCTTTTGTACAGAAGTGGTGGCTTTCCATTTGTGACATCACAAATTTGGACTGTTGGAAACAGCTTGTTTTCCTAAAACCAAACACTGACTGAAAACAGGTGGATGTGTGTTTTTCACATATGGAGTTTTTATAGCGGCAGTAGAGCTCCACATGGCAGCACAAATGGATGTAAAAAGGTCAGTTTTGCTTGACATGTCCTCTCAAATAAACTCATATTAGTTAGGTGATTCAGAAGCTTGTCACATTTGGCAGAAGAAGTCATCTTAGACAATTCTACATTGATTTTGAAAATAAATGGTCTTCATACTTTGATCATTTTCTATTTTTGTATAAAACTAAGACCATTAAATGTTAACAGTCTGGTTTATGGTAGCTATAACTCTAAAGAATCTATAATACAGTAAGATCTGGGCTCTGATTGGATCATTGCAGAAAGTAGATAAAATATTTAAAAACATGTAGCAGAAAAAAACTGATGTTTATTGTCATCATTGAGGTCCTTTTGAGTTTTACCCAGGACAGGCAGTATGGTCTCAGCTGTCAGATTCTATAATAATCTTGGGAATTCAATATTTTCCACTCAATGATGGCACGTTCCCCAGGCCAGGAATATTCAGGGGTTTCATTCCAGATTTATGAAGAAAAACAAACAACTGTTGATGGCATGTTAACTTAACCCTTGCCTTGCTGCATGTTGACATGATACCAGAAAATGCTTCTTGACAAATTAAAGGAAAAAATAGATAAACTTCCAGAAATTTCTAAATAAAAGCAGACAATTTTTGGAAGTGGAGCAATAAAATGTGCATTTTTGTTGTTATTCTGTTTTTCTTAACTTGTGAGTTTATAAAAATGTAATGAGTAGATGACAGCAGTGTTGTATGTATTATACATATTGGGTCATTTGTAGAGCGATACTAATGATCCAAGCAGGATCATTTTTACTAAAATGGGAGCAAACTTCTCTCAACACAAGATGGCAGTAGTCACATGAAAATAGTTCACCTATGGAAGAAATGCTTTGTTCTGCACCGGAGTCAAAGACCTTTACTGGCTTTATTCTTTAATTTTATGTTCTCTATTCATTTTAGGATCACATTTAAAGATAATAAAAAAACTCCAAAAAGCTCTTGCTGCAGCACCGTCCTCTTCTCAAATAAAACACTGAGTTGTCAGCTTGTGACCTTTATCAAAAACAGTAAAAATAGTTTGAGGTTTGTGATGTCTTGAGAAAGGTCATGGTGGGGGGTGCATTAAAGGAAATCCAAAGATGGCCGTCTCTATGTGACTTGAGTCATAAAGTCCAGTAATAACATTGTGCCCAAAAATGGGGTGAAAACATTTTGTTTTGTTTAAAAACTGAGAGGATTAGCAAAATTATAAGATAGTGAGACCTTTACCCCTGATATGACAGAGTGCCTTGCTGTCCGCCTGCTAATCAGAGGTCAAAGTCTGCACTCAGGCTCGCAGTCAGACCAGAGGGTGTTTTTGTTTTGCTGCTCCTTCCTCTGAAATCTTGTTAACAACACATCTCCTTGTGGCGGATACCTGCTTCTGGATTCTGATTTACCATCATGTTACTGCGGACAGTGGTTCTTCTTGTCTGCGTGTCTTTGGGCACGTGTGCCACTCTGGGATACTACCACAATGGAGAAAAAGAAGAGGCTGTTGTTATTGATGCGGGTGGTGCAGCTGATCCACAAGTTGAACCTAACGTTAAAACACGTCCAGTGGAAAACCAGGGAGCGGCCCAACCTGAGGTGGAGCTCCACACGGCAGGTCTGGAGACAGGAAGTGCCAAGTTGTATTTGGAAGCTGTCACCAAGGAGGAAACCCCTGCCGGGGAGGAGGCCAATGAGATCAGGCCAGTTCAGACCAGCAGGTCTCCAAGCAAACCTGAAGAAGAAACCAGCGGCTGGAGCCTGAATTCAATACGGAACAGTTTTCAGACGGTACACGGATACTTTGATTCCCTTGTGGAGCTGGTTGGGGGGCGTGATGGCGTATGTCAGTACCGCTGCAGATATGGTAAGGAGTAGGGTTAGACCGATGTAGCAGGCTGATATTTACTAGGGATGTGTGTTGGTGAAATTCTGGCGATCGATACGTGTCACGATACAGGCAGACGATATGATATATCAAGATATATTGTGATACATTCAGCCAGATGATATTAGCCATTTTTTTAGACTGAAATTATTGTAGGAATAAACAGTCCAAACTGATATGTCAGGGATTCCCCCAGCGCTTTATAAGCCTTGCGGCCCGCTGGGGAACGGAGCGCCCCCAACCCCCCCACCCCCCACCCCTTCCCGGCCAAATCTGCCAGGCTTAACTCATTTGGGAAACCCTGTATGTAACATGTTTAACATGAGGTATCTGAACCATAATAGAGAGATTTACATTTCAGTGGTAGAAACAAAACTCATTGCACACTGCTGCCAACTAGCGGTCATCATTTGAATTGCACCAAAAGAAAAGAAAATACCCAAATGTTTGCATGTAAATTCTTCCAAAAATTACATACACTGCTTTTAAATATCAATGTATTATCACAGGAAAAAAATCACGATATATTGCCATATCGATATTTTCTTACATCCCTAATAATTACCATCTTTTATGAATTAGCATCAGCCAACATACATCTTTCATAAATCCGATAGAGGGAGACTGGTAAACGGAGTTGTGAAGGGTCCCGGAACGGCTGGTGTGCTTTATAGAACTGGTGGAGGTTCTCCGGGCTGTTCTCAGCATCAACCGTTAAAATCATCCCAGAAGAAATCGGCTGTACAGATTGGCTATCAGCAGCTCTCTACATGTCAGTATCGGCATGTGCAATACAAAACCCACATTGGCCTAACTCTAGTGAGGAGGAAATCTTCAATTTGTACATTTATTCAATTTCGACACTTTATAGTTGAATCTATTCACAGCCCCACCTTCAGTGCAAATATCCTCTAAGAGAAGTCACACCTGACCTTTGACCTTTTCAGGTGAGCATCCGCAACCTCGGCCAGGTTACCAGCTCCAAGAGCCCAATGGCTGCAGTTCTTCGTTGGTGGGATTCCAGGTGAATGCTGCTGTAGGTGGCCTTCTCTGAGCACCGACAGCTCAGAAGAGTGTGATTGCGTACCTACACATCACAAACTGCAACAAATTTAAATGTTTGTTTATATTTGGCAGCTCGACATGGGAATCCCAGCTATGACAAAGTGCTGCAACCAGCTTGACATTTGCTATGACACTTGTGGCGTGAACAAGTACGACTGCGACGCCAAGTTCCGCTCTTGTCTGCACGACATCTGCTCTGACCTCAAAAAGAGCCTGGGGTTTGTGTCAAAAGTACAAGGTGAGGATTTTGCAGATTTGTGTCTCCTTCCCCTGTTTTTCCACCATTAAGGAACAGAATACACGGTGAAGTCTACTTTCCCTCCTCTCAGCTTGTGGATCAATGGCAGATGCGCTCTACAACACAGTGTGGACCCTTGGTTGCAGACCTTACATGAACAGCCAGAGGGCAGCGTGCATCTGCGAGGGAGAGGAGAGGGATGAACTGTGACAGAATGACAACTCCTCAGATGTTGGTTTATCTCATAAGAGCCAGGAATTTAAAAGATGCAAATGGAGAACTTAAGAGGGCAGTTTCACAGATTTATTAATGTACTTGCAAGTATTACAGGTTCAAATATGGCTTTGAGAATTTTAATTATTTGCTCATGCAAATTTACCTCTCAGTACTCCTCATTTGGGTCAAATTTGAGCCTTTATGACTCCATTACCATAAATCACTTAATGACTCCACACGAACGTGTCTATGATAGGAAGATGAAGGGGATACGGTGGTCTGATTAATTTCATTCAACGAGAGAGATGCAAGATAATTACAGAGGTGAACACGGATCATCACGTTCTGCTGTTTAACATTTATTATTAAACTCACTAAAGCTGTTGTGTAGGTCTTTTCAGGTGAGTTTCTGTGGAGAGATTATGAAATAAATTATATCTCACCTGTTGTAGATAGTTCTTTTGAAACCATCATAAAATGGATTGCTGCCATCTTGGAATTGCTTTATTCTCAAAAATGTCATAAACTTAAACTTTTTATTGAATAAATTATTATTTATATATACATGGAGAAGTGATCAGCAGGATGAGAAACAGCTGAGTGATTTTCAGAAGAGGCAGGCGTGCAATGGTGGTGAATAACTGGGGAGCATTGGGGACGGCATTAATCCAGATTATAGCTGGCCCCACTCAGGCTCCACTCTAAAAAACAAAATGCTGAATTAACAATCAAGTTATGTAATTTGTTCCACCAAACTTAATTGCTTAACACCCCCCCCCCCCCCCATTGTCTTTATGGGTGACCCCGTGCGGGAAGTTGACCATTGAGCATGATTGCTGGGGTGAGGTGGTGCTCACTCCTCACCCCTGCCACATGAACCCGAGGGATAAACCATCAACACTGCTCAATGATCAACTTTCCACGCGGGGTCACACCCATTAGGACAGTGGGAGGGATAAATGTAAAATATATATGTTAAAAGTAAATTACTCTTTATAATTAAGCAGCTAGGTTTAGTAGAACCACTTGACATAACTTGGTTAAGTTAAATGTTAGAGTGTAGGCATCATCTCCATCTGCTTCTCCAAACTGAAGTTATTCAAATAGCTATCTGCAACAGGTAAGATAATTATTCCACAAAACATTTAACTATGCCTTTATGTCATTACCTATCCATGTAACGTCTATTACAATGTTGATGTTTAATGTAAGTTGTCTGGCATTTACATTAGACTTTTTATTAGAGCATTGTTTATTTCCTGCTAAAATGGCACAATTTCCTCTAGATTGATCAATAAATTATGCAGTGTTTAAGTCAGAGTCGTGGATTTAAATGTGTCTATAGATGGACATTTACAAATCTATGAAGAGTGTGACTCAAATGAGCGTCAACCCGGCTCAGGTTGTTGAGAATAAACCGTAGCTCCTCTCAGAGGTTTCTAATGGAAAAGTGAGTCACTTTAGTGTCAGTAAATAGAGCTGAGACACACAAACCCAGGTGACTTCATCATCACCAGAAGTGTATATGTGTGTATGTGTGGGACTTTAAAGGGACAGTGCAATAGATGTTTCTTTTCGTTTGCATCCAAATAAAACAAATTATGGGTCTACTTTTTGTGCTCTTTTGACTTTTTTCCTGTCTTGTGTTGATGCTTTTACTGTCAGCATGTCGACTAGGGCAGAATATAGATGGGGCCTGTGCTCAGAGTGTGCTGCTCCGGAGATTCCTGCGTCCAAACGTCCCGTCGGACACGTCCGCGGCAGCGCTGGGCACAGCGAGTGTCTCCTGCCCCACATACTAACACCTGGCAGTGGAGGAACACTTGCTAAAAAAAAAGTAGAAGACAAGCGTATTTTGGGAAAATTGTAAACAGAAAAAATGGACACAGTGTACCAGATGCTTCTAATTCAACATGTACTCATCTTAACCCTATGGAGCCATTTAAGCCCACGCATTCACCAGCTAGCTCCCAGCATGCTTAATATACTCACTCGATTGTCTTTGCCAATGAACTTGAAGACAGGGACCTGGAAGTGCTTGGAAAGCTGGTCTTTTGATGAATACTGTGTCATTGTTTCATCTGAGATGCATCTGTGTAGGAGGAATGAAGTGAGAAACCAGAGTCAAACGTGCGATTCATTCATTCACGTTTCTCTAACAAGTCTCTCTGTTAACGCCGGCTGCTCCATCTCCCGAGAAACACCACAAAAATGGACCATCTTGCTGTCCTGTTAGTGTCAAACTGCAAGAGGAAAACGTTTTTTCTCCCAAAGGGACACGAGCACGTTCATTTTCTCTTCCCTGTGAATTTGTTTTTCTCTACACATTCATCAGAATGCAAAACCAGACATAAATGTATTTTTTTTATTTGGCATTTCATTGAAGGAGCGTTGGTTTCCTGTCTTATTGCTGTCAAGCAGCCGATACAAGGGGTTTTGCATCAGCCTGTGCTGAAACTTGACATTTATATCCTAAACATGCAGGACCACACCACACATCTTATATAAACTGGAGAAAACTCCAAAAATATAGACAAACTGTAGCAGTAGCAAAGATTTTGTTACTGCAGGTTGGTCTAGTCACAGACATCATCCCACTTGATCTGTTTTCAATGGCGCTCCAGCTGCTGCAACCGTAGGCTGCACAAAAAACGGTCGTAGTTGCCCACGCTGCATTGACTCCAGTTGGGTTTGGAGCGTGAGGAACCCATCCAATATGGCGGCAATGCTGTAATCTTCAGCGCTCAATGGGGAATCTACTTATTAATGTCTATGGTTCTAGCCATGCTCCATTGTGGGCTCTTCAGGTCTACCATAGGTTAAGTTTGCTCTGAAGTGCCTCTTTTTTCCCTCCACCTGAACCAATCCTCATGTAACCCTCTTATCTCTATTAAGGTAGCGCCACTCAGGGTTGCGAATGACCACAGTCACCAATTCTTGTCATGTGTCTTGCCCGTCTTGCCCATGTATGTCTGATCTCTGAATTGTGTGTACTGAAACTCTAATTTCCCTCTGGGATTAATAAAGTATCTTTGATTTGATTTGATTTGATTTAGGTTGGGCCAATCACAGCACTCTATGTTTGTAGAGAGAGATTGGGCGGGCTTAGCACCGTTAAGGCAGAGCTATTTTAATCATTTTGTTCTGATGATGGCAGAGCTGCGATGGAGCAAAACAGCAAAGATGGCTGCAGCTCATTTAAAACAGCTTTGCCATCAGCTTTGGACAATTTAGATCTTCTTCGAGACATAAGCAGATAGAGGTACCGCCTGTTGACCAGTTTTTGTCACTATGAATATGTCGCGTTGTTCATCATTGATTGATCGTCATCTATGCCCCACCTGGGGCATAGGCCACCTTTAAGCACTTTCCAGCTCTTCCTGTCGTGGGCCAGCTTCTCTGTCTGGCTCTACGTGTAGTTCCTTATGTAGCCTCCGAAGATGCCAACGGTGGATTCCGTAAACTCACATGGTAAGAGGACACATTACTTGGAACCCACAAAAGAAAAGAAAGATGGGACGATCCAGAAACACATGGTGCCCTGACCTGATTAGTCCAAGCTATGTCCAGCTGTGTGCAGAGACATTTTGAAAGACAGCTATAGATTCCACCCATATGACTACGTTCTGTCCACGGGACCACATATTTACATATATAGGATGGCTTGAAGACTAGAAGTGCATTTTTCGGTAATGAAAGCTATCACTTAAAGATATGGGGACAAATCTGAAGAATTCTGAAATTATCAGTGACAACTTTTTGTTTCTTGGAAGACTGGCCTTGTCTTGCTGGTGTAAACAAAGACTGCGTGGAGCTAAATGGATCGTGCCTGTGGCCAATAGATCAAAACAAAGACCAATTTATAGAACAACACATCAACAGTGGGATTCATATTCACCCATCTTTGATGAGAAAATACTTGAGAGCCTGGTCGGCTTTGGGTCCTGGAGTTGCGAAGCAGCTCTCCACCAAGGTAGAAAGGCCCTCCACTCTTTCTTTTGGCTCCACCCCAAAGAACAGGGAGTCATGAAGGCGTAGCTGTGGCGGGGCGTGGTAGGACTCGGAGAACTCTGCATTCTTGAAGAGCTCCAGGTTGAACCGGAACACTCCTTCGCTGTGACTTGCCAGCTCCAAGGCAGAGTTGCGTAGGCTCGCCTGGTATCCGTCCGACACCTGGTACTCTCTGGGGAACTCGCAGGTCACTGGGAGCACCAACTTGCTGGTCCGGACAATGACATCCTTGCTGCTGCCTGGGCTGCTCCTGGGCAGGCCTGTCACCAGATTGGTCCCCACAATCTTGTTACCTGTCACCTGAAAGTAAACATTTTCTTCACCTTTTTCAGTTAAAGGACACGTCGAAGGGTGCAGCCCTTTTCAAATATGTCCCACATAAAGCCTTGTGCACGTTTGAAGATTATATTAGCCTTGAGCCTCTGACCTCCACAACTGTACCGCAGGTCTTTAGGCTGAATCTGAGGTTGATGTGTGTGCCGTTGGAGATGCCTCGGCAAGACGTGTTGGACAGAAAAAGCTCTAGTCCGCCTACTAGGTCTTTGGGAACAGACACTGTGATGGAGCTGGGATCACACTGGACTGGTACTGCAGCAATGAAAGAAAAGACAAAAACGAAAAACACATTTTGGTTAAAAAACAAACAAACACTGTGTTGGTGCTGTAAATAAATTAACAAATAACTCAGAACAGGATAAAAATAGCCAGAGATTATTCACTGAGCTGGTTTTTGTCCTCTACTTAATAGCATCCCTGACTCCAGCTACTTTTCACATAATGATGGCAAAATGTACATGGAAAATCCTCAGTGTCATTGTACTTAAATCCCATAAAAATGACAATAATCATTGAACCATTTAGGTCACTGAGCAGGAATTAATGGAAATTATTCTAATAATGCAGGTAGACAACACATCTGAGCAGAACTGTCAAGAAAATCCTAATTTTCTTACCTCTATTGTCTATTGTATAGCCTGCCAGAAGGTAAATAGGAAATTAACCTGCACATCTCAAACTGTAAATGAGGTTAGGTGATGGTTCCTCACAAATCTTCTTTAGAGTGGGCTGTTTATTAATCATAATAAATGACAACACTGTGAAATATTTAATTTACCTATTATGGCCTTGGGAAGTACATTTTTGCACTGGAACACATTTGGAGATAAATGAAAGTGCCTCTCTTTCAAGCTTCCTTGTTCTCACACACATATACACACCCTGGCAAGTGTGTTTATCCTCTCCCAGCTCCAGCCCTCTGGGACAGAAGCACTGATAGGAGTCCTGCAGCGAGGAGCAGCCATGGCTACAGCCTCCGTTGTTGACGTGACAACCTGCAGTCTCTGCGAGAGGCAGCACACGATGAAGGGAATTAAATGCATAATGACTCCCTGTTTAATTATCTGTGTGCAGCATCTACCTCTACAGTTGTGTCCATCTTCACCCAGAGTCCGACCCCGCCCGCACTCACAACGCCTGGAGCCTTTGGTGTTCACACACACCTCTGCACAGCCGCCATTGTCTTTATCACATTCATTTACATCTGGACACAGGACACAAGCAACGTCTTGTCAGATATGGTCATCAGATGAGTCTGGTTTGAATCCACTGAGCAGCACATGGGAGGAGTTTATCACCTCCAGGCAAGTTCCTTCCATTTTCAGGGTTGAGGGATGATAGATGGACTCCAAAGGACCTTTAAATGAAGTTTATAATACTAAGAGGACTGGTAAGAAAATGATGATGGATGAAATAAGAGTAGGGGGCAAAAGATAGAATGGAGAAAGTGAGGATGAACACCAGAGAAATTAACGTTGATTTATTTTCATTTCATTTTACACCTAAAATGTGTTCACCTTGAAATAGACAAGATCTGAATGCCTTGGCTCAAGTTTGAGCTCACCAGTGAAGAACGTTCCCATAATGCATCTGCCAAACATGCCGATGTCTGCATAATGAGTAAGTCGTAATAGCTCTGAACTTTAAAGAGCAAGTCACCCCTACCAGAATTTTACTCCACTCCCACTTCCTGTTTGAAAAACGTAACAAATGCTGTTGCCTGGTAGATAGAGAGGGTGGAGCCACTAACAAATACACACACACTAAGGCTCGCAACGGCATCGTGACATCATATGTTACCAGCTAATGTCATAGTGTACCTCTTAGCCAATAGCGATGGCAGATTTTAATTCAAATGTAGGGCAGAGTTTTTCAGCTGGGTTCAGCTAGCCGCAGGGCGTTTCTGCTTGGACTAAAAAAACACCTGGTGTAGGTTACTGTAGCTTCTCACCAACCAATCAGAAGGGGCATCAAAATACGCAATTTTCCCTGCGAACATTTAAATACGTGAGAGGCGTGGAGGGGGTGTGGGGGTGCGCGGACCGTTTCACCCTGTTTACTGACCGTCAGAGTGGGTGGGGGGTGGGGTAGAGGTTTGAATAGTCAGCGTGAGATATTGGAGGTGTGGCGTGAGAGCGTGAGGAGAGTCAAATGCGTGAGAGTTGGCTGCCCTGCAAACATACCAGAAATTTGGATTTAAAAAGGCATTAAAAGTTAGTCACACGTAAATATTAGCACATACTGATCATTAGAATTAGCAATAGCATTTTCATCACAGGGCTGCCAACTTTCGAACTTTTAATATGTTCGAGTTTGGGGGGGGGGGGGGGGTATTCTTTGACGTGAGATATTGGAGGTGTGACGTGAGAGAGTGTGATGGGGTCAAATGTGTGTGTGGCACGCTCAATGCATAAGAGCTGGCAGCCCTGTATCATGAGCTAATGAACTGAAAAAGCACAACTCATTCAGACGACCGTTGTTTAAAGCTTCTCCGGATCACTAAAATATTAACCTGAAATAAAACAGCTGTAGGCTTCCAGGTGAGGAAGGCAGCACAAGGTAGTTTGTTGTGTCGATCACTTCAGCACTGGGTAAATCCTCCTGGGTATGAAAAGTCTGACTTTTAAAACTAAATGGGTCGTAACATGAAGGAAGATGTAATGTTTTTGGGATATCATATCTGTGCCAGCTCATTTGAACCCTTAGTAAAGCCGCTTTCAAAAAGCAACATTAAGTTGGTTTTAACACTTCAAGCTATTGCTTCTAAACTGGTTCCAGTGATTCTTGAGCCATAAACTTGATCAACTTCACATTGCACAGCCCACTGTCGCCCTCTGCTGACCAGAAACTGCACTTAATAGTTTTGTGATTTGGGTAGAAAAACTAGTGGGAGGTTTCTATCTGCTTTATGCCAACAGCTGTTTACTGTGCAGGTAGCTATTACAAAGGCTGGCAGTTAGCTTTTTCAGTTTGGCGAGAAGAAGAATTTTGCTGGGACGGATGGGTGGATAAAAGTAAGAGTACTGACTTTGGAGTTAAAGCAAAGAGCTAAAACCAGAGTGAACATCAGCGTGGCCTACACTCAGTTGAGGGAGCTGGAGGACATTATGAAATCATGGACTGATGGTGACCTGGCTTTGTTGCTACTGGACTTGTAGGCAATAATATGTATGTGTCCAACAGTGTGGATCTTTCTATTTCAGAGCTTATTTACTATCAGTTGGCTCGTGTTAGCATTAACTCATAGTTAGCCCTATAGCTACAGTGGGCTGCAGCAGAGTTGTTGGAAACGTATTAGATGTTACTAAAGTACAAATTTTACACAATTTAATGTTGGGCTTTTGGGGGAAAAACAGTTTGCATGATATTGTTGTTTAAAAAAATAAAAATAAATCAAGTAAAAATGACAATATAAGAAGTCGTATAATTTTCTTTCAAATTTAAGCACTTATGTTTCAACAAAAAGCATCTACAAGAAATTAAAGTGGCCTGTACTTGTATAGCGCCTTAGGGTTCTACAACCCCTCAAGTCCCTTTACAACACAATCAGTCATCCACCCATTCACAAAATGTTGAGTTACTATGCAGCCACAGCCGCCCTGGGGCGCACTGACAGAGGTGAGGCCTGCTGAACACTGGCGCCACCAGACCCTTCGACCACGGTCCAAGGCAGGTTAAGTATCTTGCCCAAGAACACAATGGCAGCGTTTTCTGGTCAGAGCTGGGATTGAACCTGCGACTTTCCTATTGTAGACAACCCACTCTACCTCCTGAGCTACTGCTGTCCCAGTTGGCAAACAAAAAAAACTGCTGCCTCAAAGTGACACGACATGAGATCATGAAGAAGCTTCAATATATAAAATCCAGTCTAAACTACCTAAAAGATAAATCCACCATCACTAATCTTGTGCTTTCTGCAAAGCAGTTAGAAAAATATTACCATGATGTCTCGAACACCATTTTTTCATACTCACATTTGGTTATTATCTAAATGAAAGTGAGTCAAATTTGACTCCTGACAGAAATATAAAAGAAAAAGTAAAGTGCATTTGCACAAAGAATGATATAATTCTGTTACATCAAGTTAACACTAACGGATGTGGATGGGACTTTAAATGCATGATCCTCATGTATTCCCACCCCCACGCGCTTGACTCACCCAGACATGTTTGTCTGTCTGGACCCAGGACCGTTCCAGGACCACAGCGGTGTTGAGGGTCTGACCTCATGAGGAAATTACTATGCAGTGATTTTCTCTAAAATGACTGTGCTTAAATTGCTCTGAAAAGCAAATAATCACATCAGCGCCAAGAAACTTCATTTCCCATGATGCTTTGCACACGGAAGCATTGGGTGATGTTACCGCCTAGTACCAGAAACACGTTCTGCGCATGTGCGGGAAGCCGTGGAGCTTTCCCCGCGAACTAAGACCATAAATCTTCAGCAGAGACAAAGAAACCTCGTTCTTTTGCCCAGGATACCTGGCGGTGAGGACACGCTTGTCGAACGCTCCGACTTCTTTGAGCACGCGGAAGCTCTAAGTGCCAAGTTGAGCCACGGAACTGCTGGAAACTAAACTGCAAGCCTATCAGATCTGCTCGTTTCTGCTCCCCTCCAGCTGATGTTTGAGGACACAGAACTGCGGAGGGAAACAACAACTCCATCCAGCTCTCAGAAACGCTGTAAGTTATAACTCAGCACAGAAAGAAACTTTGCTGTCTCTGTCCAGCCCGTGGAGAAACACTCGTGAACGCCAAACAACGGAGAAAGCATCAAACCGACGGATGACGCCGGAAACCGCGGAGAAAAACGGAGAACCGTCAAGTCATAACAGCGGGGGACGCCTTGCTGCTTTGGTGATCAGGAAACTCATTTTTTTCTCTCCTTTTCTTCTCCCGTTTCCTCTATAGTCTCAAATAAGCAATAAACCGCGTCTATTGCTTAAAAAGTAGCTTCGTGTTTTCCTCTTTCGTCCCAAACACGTCCGTCGGGTCATTTTGAAAGAATAAACTGCTTATTGATCATTGTTTGGTATCTTAAAATGGTTTCTGTCATGGCCAGGCTGAAACTAAAAGATATTAATTTGTGATTAATCTTTTGTGTTGTTTCATGATCTTTTGAAATGTTTTGAGTGATTTAAGGTTAAGTTACTACTGATTCTAAGTGCTTTGGAAGTTAAAGTGCAAGTTGCCACCCACACTTTAGCCAGACAAAGGGGTCAGCCATCTTGTATTCAAGACTCCATTTTGAATCTATACACACGCACACACACACACACACACACACACACACATACACACTACTCCTTTGTGAGAACAAAGGACCCCATTCATACATCCTCCATCACATGCAAACACATCCATCTTCAATCATATCACACGGTTATCATTCATCTATTCCACTGTTTATTCATTTGACAAATTGTTAATTAAATGTTATAAAATTCAGATTTTTGTGTCCAGTAGCTTTGTTGTGTCGAAGAGAAGTCTCTGCTCCAAGGATTCTACGAACTTCAAGAAAGACTGATAAGAGTTTTGGATTCAATTTTTCCCCGGAAAAAGGGGAATGGTGCCCCGTATATCTAAGAATATCTTAATTAATTAATAAATCAGTAAATATTCCCATATTTACAGAATTTATTGAAGAATCCAAAAGTAAGTTGAAGCTTACTAATTGTTCGCTCCTAATAACCCCAACATTTTATTGGTGCAGCCCGTGTGAGGCTTGGATACACAGAGATTTCTATCCGGCACAAACAAACAACTAAATCCAAAGAGCTTGAATTAAAAATAATCCGTTGTTCAGCCTTGAACCAGCAACAGAGTGGTGCTGATTTCGCTGAGCAGGAAGCTGCATCGAACTCTCACCAGTAACTCAGTGCTTCTTTAAAGGTGCAACGTGTAAATTAATTCTGGTTGACCTTTTAGGTTAAAAATTCAGTTTTTCCTTAAAGGTGCAACGTGTAATTAATTCTGGCTAACCTTTTAGGTTAAAATTCAGCTCCTCATTAAAGGTGCAGCGTGTAAGTAATTCTGACTAACCCTTTTAGGCTAAAATTAACTGCTAATTTAGCGACTTTAACTCACAGTGGCTATTATAACTAACTGAAACCTTCACTCAAAGACTGATAACACCCTGTTTGCTAATATTCTGAAGGAATAACTAGCATATTTAACACTGCAAGTGTTGTAAGACGTTGCTACGGCAACGCACCAGCTTTTGCTAAAATACTGAAAGGAATAGTATTTTAAGCGTCAGTCACGGCATTCCGTGCAATCTTAAAACGCTAAAACCTGTGCGCACAAAGGTTAATTTAGTGTTTTTCTGCTACAAAGCTAGCAGTTGCTGCCCAAAAGGTGCAGCTTGAGCTATCTGCAGAAGCTCTACTAGGCTATTTTTGGTTCGGTTGTTAAAATGGAGGGACAGAGTAGTGAACTGACCAACTCCCAGCAACCAGGTGGCGCTGCGGCCCACGACTATGAACCTGGCCTACTTTCTGGACAAATATTGTCCAAACTGGTCGCGGTTGCTCGAGAACCCGACTACCCTTCTAGGGATTTCACTGAAGAACAGCGTAGCGTCGAGCTAGAAGCTGTAATCGATCAAATAGAAAACCCGGATGGTACAAAACCAATCCAGGTTCACTTAGCTAAGTTAGCCTTGATCCTCTATCAGAGAGAACTCCAACATGATCGAGAGATCATGAACCTCCAGAGTATGCTAGCTGAAAAACAGCGAAATGGAAGTCTGAAGGATGAGGAGGAAGACAACACCAGCACCGATCCTGGGGAAGATGGGGAGGAGACCCCGCCCCCCTCTGCTGATGACAACAGACAGTGGGAAGGGGGGAAACACCAGGACTCTCTGGACGGACGCACGCCGCAGGGGAGAGATGAAGCTCATCTGTTCCAACCTTCGGCCCCGTTCCCTACACACACTATAGGGCATTCAGGACCATCTAGGGGCCGAGGGCAGTTCGCCCTCGAACCCCAGGTTGGACCACCACCCTCATCTTCACGGCCTTCTCAATCAGTGAGAAGTCGACCCGCTGAGCGGCACCTCTATTTAGACCGCTCCCCCAGTCCACGAAGGGTGCAAGGTGCCGGCTGGGGTTATGCACAAGCCCAAGCTGCACCTCAACCATCCACCCATCCTAGCTACTCTGGTATTCGGCATGCCGATAACCAGCTGCATGACCAAGCATCATACGCCAGTCCGTACCCGGACAGAGCGTATTACGCAGAAGCCCCAGTTGAAAGACGCAGGCTGCACTACGCAGACGTGCCCCGGGAGGAGGACCTCCCAAGACACCCACGTGACGTGCCAGCAGCCCGCCACAACATGCCGAACCCCGATTTGGGCCCCAGGAGTCAACATTGGGAGCCCAGAGCACACCAGCGATATCCAGCGCACTCTGAGACAGACCGTGGGTCAGAGTCAGAGGATGACGCGCCGTACCGTGAGTCAGGGCTCCGTGTACGTCAAATTGAATCGCTAGCTAAAGACATAGAACGCTTTGATCCTAACACCAATGAATCCAATGTCGACGATTATCTCAGGGAGATAGAACGTTGTCTGCTTGATCTTCCAGCACCCTCTTCAAGGGAAAAGCTCAAGCTAATTTGGAAAACCACATCTAGAACGGTGCACGGTTTCATGGAAACTCTACCACCTGACATTCGTGATCGGTACTCCTCGCTCTGCCGAGCGTTGAGAGATGAATACGCCACGTATGCAGACTCTGCGTCAGCTACAATGGGGGCCTTCTCCATCAAACACGGGAGGAACGAACCCCCCAGAGAGTATTATCGCCGACTCAAAAGTGCTTATTTCCAAGGTCGAAACGGCCCTGGGCTCGAGGAAGACCCTGCCTTCAGATCCCTGTTCATTCACAACCTGCACGAGTGTGTTCGCTCCGAAGTCTCAATGTATTGTCGGATAAAAAAACTGACAACTCAGGAGATTAGGAGATACGCTCAACAGGCTTGGGAAGCCGGCGGAAAGCCCCAAAAGCCTGACGCACATCACCGCGTCATGCACCTAGCTCCCGACGCCGAGCCGCGTTTGGAGCTTGAAGGCACAGAAGCTCCACCCACTAAGCCAAAATCTGCTAAACCTAGACCTGTTAAACCGCGAGAGCAGTCCCAATCTCCTCAACAGGGGAAGGGGGGTGCTGATTGGCCGCCTAGGTCTGGACAATCAGACAGGAAGTGGCCCAACCAAAACCAACGGCAGGCAGGTCGGAACAGTGGAAGGTTTAAGGAGCGCCGCCCACAGGTAGGTCCCGAACACAAGTCCGCAGGTGAGTACTTGACCAAAGCCGACGTCCAGGAGATGTTTCAGCAGTTTCTAGCTAAACAGAAGGAACAGCTGAGATCTGCAGAAGAAACCCTTGCACCAAAGTCGTCTTCTAAGAAGCCAGACCCAGAGCCAACGTCCGCATGACTAGGCGTGGCTCAACCCCCCAGCGTGGCCAGGACCTACCTGATCAGCTGGGGGAACACTACTGGTAGATCACAGGAGTCTCCTGAAATCTACCCCCCAGAGAAACCTGATGCTAAATTTCTGAAGTTCCTTGGTGACTTAACAAACCATGATCATGCTCGCCGTTTGTACTGTAGCACCAACGTAGGTGGATGCATACAGGTTGATGCTCTGCTGGATACCGGCTCAGAAATCACCCTGATGTGCTCCACGCTGTTCCATCGCGTGTCTGACACCATGCGGTCACTCGGGAAACCAGTCCAGGTAGAGCCCTGTGACCTGAAAATCACCAGCTACACCCAGACCCGGGAGTGTATCACTCACCGGGCGTGGCTGGATATCACCTTCCAAGACATGACTCTGGTTCACCCGTTTTATGTCTGCCAGCTAGACACTGAACCACTTCTCATTGGTCAGGACCTGCTTGAACGTCTAGCTCCCCTCATCGACTGCCAGAAGGGTCAACTGTGGGCCCAGGTGGAAACACCTAAGCCCTGGAACCCGGATAGCAGCCGACCATCCTCCATTCTTGAAGTCAGCCTAAGTGAGCCGCAAAACCCTTGTTCCAAGGTCATGCCCCTCCCTACAGCTCCCACAGACGATGTCCGCCTGCAAAGGCATGAAACCGCTCCTGGAACTCCGTTCCGCACACATTCATCTTTTCTCTGCTCGCTGAAGAACGTCAGTCTGCAGCCATATGCACCACACATAGTTGGTGGTCTTACCATCAACTGCACCCACATCTCAGATGCTCGCCTTGCTCTTTGGTCTGAAAAGTCAGCCATCAGCCAGCAGACGTTTGAACACCTGCGTCAGAAGGACCCCCTTCTGGTCAGTGTGACACGTAGCCATCGGCTCTTGTCACCTACTTGGCCGCAGAGGCTCCTGAAAGCGCCAGAGGTCTGCTCTCTGACTATCCAACTTGGAGCAAGACAGCTCACACATACATTCAGCATCATACCACAGCTTGATCCACCTGCACTCATTGGAGCAGATCTGCTGGTTCGACTAGGTGCCCAGCTGGACACTTGCAATCAAGTCCTTTGGGCCCGGGCCACACCTTCCTCTGAGCCTCGCTCAGAAGGCCGTGAACACTTGCTGTCCGGACAGACCATTCCACAGGCCTGCCGTGCAGTGGTTGAGGCCAGCACGGTTCTGCCCCCACTGGTCAAAGGAGTGCCTGTTCGTCTAACTCTGATGAAGCATCAGAAGCTGCCAGGCACACAGGCCTTCTTCCAGCCATCACCACACTTCTTGGAGCTCAACTTAGCCGTCTGTGGCACGCCACTCTTGGAGCTGAACAATCGTTCTGCGTACTTGTTGGTCGAAAATCCGACCCGGAGTCCTATCCACATGCCGGCAGGAAAGCCCTTGGGCATGCTGATAGATAGCTCATTCCATGACTTCGAACTTTCAGTCCCCGTGATCGGACAACTTCCGTTGTTCTTGAACGACAGACAGGTTGGTGTAGACACATTCAGTACTTTCCCTTCACAAATGATTACCATCAAGCGGCATGAAGCCCTTCCTGAGGAACCCATTTGCAGTGCAACCTTAGATACTGACGGCGGTCAGTGTCTAACGGTTTTTGCAATAAATACTCAACCCTCTGAGTCACCGGTTGAAAGCCCGGAACACCAGAGACCCTCCTCCTCTGAACCTTATGACGGCTTCGAGGCCGAAGTCAGCCAGCAGCTTGACAAAGCGGATGCGCTGGAGTCAGAGGAGCAGAGAGCAGCGCTTAGAAGCCTGTTCTATGAGTTTCAGTCCATCTTATCCAGGGACTCCCTGGACTGTGGACTCACAAACCTGCATACGGTTCGCATTCCAACGAACCCGAATGCCCCTTCTACTTTTGTACGTCAGTACAAGATTCCCCTCGCTGCTTATGAGTCGATCCAGGAGATCCTCGATCAGCTGAAGGAGAAAAACATCATCAGAGAGTGTAACTCCACTTACAACTCTCCCATCTGGCCGGTTCTGAAACCGACTGGGAAATGGCGTCTCACCATAGACTATCGTGCACTGAACAAACAAGTACCTCTCTCCAGGTGGCCTATGATCCATTTAGATCAGGAGCTAGCCAGAGTCAGAGATGCTCGTTTCTTCTCTACGGTTGACGTAGCCAACGGCTTCTGGACCATGAAGGTTGAGCCGGCGGACCAGTATAAACTGGCTTTCTCCTTTGGAAATCGCCAATATACTTGGATTCGCTGCCCCTTTGGCTACTCTAACTCACCTGCCGAGTTCAACATCTTCCTCCACAAAGCCATGTCAGATGCTGCTTCCAGAGGGAACCTCATATATGTCGATGACATCTTGAGGAGGAGTCGAACCTTCGAGGAGCACCTGGTTGAGCTCCGTCATGTGCTGCAACAGCTCGCTGACGCCGGAGCTAAATTGGCGATTCTCAAGGGACAGTGGTGTCGAACCAAAGTGGAGTATGTTGGACTGCTGGTTGGCCCTAATGGAGTCGAGCCCCAAGCGGGACGCATTAGAGCCATTCAGGACATCAAAGCCCCAGCTAATCTGACTGAACTCAGGAGCTTCCTCGGAGTCTGCAACTACTCCAGGCAGTTCATTGAGGAGTACGCTGAAACAGCGAGGCCCCTCACTGAGCTGCTTCGGAACGACACACCTTTCGTGTGGGACAGACCCCAAGAACTCTCCTTCCAGTTCCTAAAACAGAAGTTGGCGTCCGCACCCTGTCTGGCTTACCCAGACAAGGATAAAGAGTTCTACATAGAGGCTACTTTCTCCTCTCACTGCCTGAGCGCTGCTTTGAAGCAGAAACACGATCAGGACATGAGAGTTGTGGCATACGCCAGCAAGCCTCTGAGCAAGGTGGAACTCCAGTTCTCAGACTGCGAGAGAGCTCTCCTCTCTACAGTCTGGGCCGTCGAACACTTTCGTAGTTACATCGGTGGACAGAAAGTGATCATTGAAACGTGTCATCAGCCTGTCACCTTCCTAAACAGCCAGCGTCTGCGCGAAGGAAGAGTGTCAAACAGCCGCATTGCGACGTGGATGATGGTGCTCCAAGGATACAACATTGAGGTCAAGTATGGTCAGAACACCAAGCTAGCGCTAGGACAAGGGCTAGCTGGCTGCCAGCACTGTGACTCTGACTCCGTCATGGGCCCCCTGGACACACCTGCCGCAGTCTACCCAACCGCATCCAATCATCGCTACTTTGATGAGAATGTTTGCCAAGGGCTTCCGAAAGTTTACACTGATGGATGCTCCTACCTTCACGAAGGCCAGCTCCGTGCTGGGGTTGGAGTCGTTTGGGTTGACTGTGACACCAAGCAACCAAATCACTACCGGTTGGGCCAAAAGTCTAGTCAGTACGCCGAAATTGCTGCAGTGTTGATAACCCTCCAGCAGGCGGCAGCCTTGGACATCACTCAAATCGTCCTTTGCTCTGATTCAAACTACGCTAGACACAGCTTCATATCTCACTTCCCCATGTGGAAGGAGAACAACATGAAAAATGCCAGGAACAGAGACGTGAAACACTCGGAGTTATTCCTAGCGTGTGATCTGCTCACCACTGAGAAAGGCATAATGGTCTACTGGAAAAAGGTCAAAGGTCACTCCAGGACCCTAGGTCCGGAGAAAGATGGTAATGACGAAGCTGACCGCCTTGCTAAGCTCGGTGCTGACCAGGGAACCTGCTGGGAATTCAAAGACGAGTGGCTTCCACCCAAGGCCGTTCACAAGGTCTGCGCGATTACTCGTCGCCATGCTAAACAGGCAGACGAACCTCGGACCGTTGAGGTACCCGTGTTTCTAGGCAGACAACCACAGGACGCGGACTTAGTCACCATGCAGGAACAAGATCCTGACCTGAAGCTCATCCGCGAGCTTCTCCAAAAGGGCCCGATGCCTGAACAACCGTCACCACCTACTGGCGCAAGCCGAGATTTGGTAACCCTGCATCGTCAACTCGCGCACCTGAAACTACAAAACGATTTGTTAGTTTACATGCGTGACGATCACAGCCCGCCGCGCTGGGTTGTTCCACTCGACCACAGAGGAGTGATGCTTGCCTACGCCCACGACACTCCGGTTGGAGGTCACCGCGGAGCAAAAGCTACCCTCGCGTCACTGACAGAAGTAGCATATTGGCCGTCGATGTCCAAGGACGTACACAGCTATGTCCAAGGCTGCCTCGTCTGTGCCCAGTTTCAACCCTCCCAGCCGCTTGCTAGAGCACCACTGCAACGCAGGGGAATAACCTTCCCTTGGTCCCACCTGCAGATCGACTGGGTTGGACCGGTTCCCAAATCGGCAAGAGGAAACAAATATATGCTAACTGTAACTTGCAGTTTCACAAAGTGGGTGGAATGCCTTCCAGCGCCAAACGATACAGCCGTCACAACCGCTGTACTGCTGATTAACCACGTTTTCAGTCGATGGGGACTTCCACTCTGCATTGACTCTGACCGAGGAACTCATTTCACATCCAGTGTAATGACGTCCCTGTTTGAACTTCTGGGAGTGGAAGTGAGATTCCACCTCCCCTATCACCCACAGTCATCCGGACAGGTCGAACGGATGAACCGCACGGTCGTCTCCATGCTAAAAAAGTACGTCTGCTCCACTGGGAAGGACTGGGACGTCAAGCTCCCTCTGGTCCTGATGGCCATACGGTCCACTCCACAGCGATCCACGGGGGTTACGCCCTTTGAGATGATGACCGGCAGACTGATGACTCTACCACTGCACCTCCTGTATCACCCAGAGGATGTCAGTGTTGCCACTGCCTATACCGCCCATCAGTATGTGGCAGACTTGAAAACACACCTCAGAGCTACGTTTGCGCACGCTCAGAAGAAACTGGAGACCAACGTAGAAGGCGCTAAAGCCTACTACGACCAAAAGACAACCAGCCGCGAATACGAGGTGGGTGACAAAGTATTCTACTTTCGGTTCGCCCAACCGGCACGCAAAGCTAAGAAGTTCCTGCCCTGCTGGTCAGGACCATTTGAGATCGTGGCAAAACTCTCTCCAGTTGCATACAGGTTACGCATCACCAAAGCGAGACAGGAGCCTGTCTACAAATGGGTGCATGCAAACCAAATCAAACCCTACGTCAAACCGTCCCCGCGGGTACAGAGACCAGACTCCCCGCAGGAGGTAGACGTAGTCTCCACATAGTTTTATGCATGGAAATGGAAAGGGGGGGGAAGTGCACGTTTAACCCACTAACATGTACTAACCGACAAAGAACAAGACCCCCCCCCCCCCCCCCCGCCGTTCTTTTCACTAACCACGAGTCTCTCCATTACAGGATGGAGTTCCTCTGGATCTTCTGCATCCTCTTTGGATCAACGGCAGCCACTCCATCAGCCATCATTAAACCGGGACCACCAACCGGGATGGTCCTCCAAGACAACCCCGGATTGTTGATCACACACTGCCGCATTCATACGCAACGTATCGTTGTCCGTTTGGACCCGTGGGACGTCTATCACAAACACGTGATACCGGCCCCTCCTCCTCACAAGTCCATTATTGGTACTGTTCAACATGCCAAGCGCACCACCGCTTACATGTTGGCACAACTTCAAAAATTTATAGTCACTGAAGATGACCTCGGAGAAAATAACCGCCCAAAAAGGTTTCTAGGTGGACTCATCGCTGCGGTGTCCGCGGTGGGTTCCCTCTTTTCAGTTGGACTTTCGGCGGCTAACACAATTAGTCTTAAGACTGTCCAGCGACACATTGCCGAACTCCAGGATGAGATGCCAGAGATCCAGGGGAACCTCCTCCTCCTAGACCGCAAACAGGAAGCTCTTACTAAAACCTTACAGGGTACTCTTGTAACGGTCAACCTACATTCTGCTCTGATTAATGAATCTCTACGTGCAATCAAGACTTTGTCTGACACCATACATCAGGATATTGTGTACACACGAGTGGTGAGAGATTTGATGCAGGACCTGCTCAGGGAAATTGGTTCTACTCTGGACAGCCTGGTTGAAGGTCGCATTCCTGCGTATTTGGTACCAATGGATCTGCTCAAAGATGTTTTGACTGCTGCTACTCCCTCCACTGTACACACTTCACAAATCCACCTAGCGTACAGCCTAGGCAGTGCAATTCCCATTCACGTTGATGCAGAAAAATTAGAACTCGGTTTCCTGTTAAATGTTCCCATAATTGAGACACCTCACATCTATAGGCTTAAGTCCATGCTAAACGTTGGTTTTTGGAAAGACGGTAAACATTTCCACCTTAAAACTCCGAGCTTCCTTGCTTACCAAGATGCTGATAGCAAACTCTATCTAACTCCTAACTTAGATTTATGCACAAAAACCAAAGATATTCACTGGGTGTGTCTTGGTAACCCATTTGTCCGAGACGTTGCCAATTATCAATGCGGCCTCAGGAGCGATGCGCCCCTGCAGAATTGCCAAGCTACGGTCACGTTAAAAGATGTTGACATGGATACCAGAGTGGAACGTGCAGGTGACAGATGGCTTATCAGCACCCCAGTAGACTCGGCCCTTGTAACTTATGACCAGCATAACGTTGCCACTGAGTTACAACTGCCGAACCAAACCTTTTTCCTCTCAGTTCCGCCAGGTGCAATTGTACACCTGGAAAAACTGGCACTCCATCACCTCAACCTCGAACAGCATGATTCGGAGATTGAGATCATGGACGCTTTCCAGGGTTATAACTTTACCATCGATTTAGAAATTGACCAACAATTACTGATTGAAGGAACCAAACTTGTTAAGTTCACACAAACCCCGCGTGAACTTACTTTGACGCCCATGAATAGATACCCAAGACGCTACATTGACACAGATTATACCACCTTAATCTGCACATTGGTCGCCCTGGGGATGGGATGGCTCATCACGGCCGTGATAGCTTATTCCGCCTACAGGCGTGTTAAGAAACTCCAAGATAAGATGCACTTGCTCACCTACGGTGTGCCTCGTGACCGCGTTCGGGGAGAATCCAAGCGTGAATGTACCACACCTGTCTAAAGGGGGTGAGCAACATTTTCTTTATTATTTTGTAAACCTAAGAGTAGTTCTCACTTTAGTCTACCTCACATTTTTTATCTGAGTGTTGCATTATGTCACATTCTTTATAAGCTACACACTGAATGTATGACCTAAGAATGTATTTTATGAGACCTCAAGGTTGCTATGAATTTTCTTGGATGTTATATGTTACATGTTTTTTTTTGGGGTTTTCTGTATTTTTGTTTCTTACTTGGTCACATATTAACTAGTGGTTATGTGCCGGCCCAGCTCAGTCTGTCAATGACTCTGTCTGACGCACCAGCACATTGTAGTACCTCTTAGTTTTATGGTCCTTGTTTTAGCCCAAAGACTGTCCTGATCCACCCTTTGGACCAAAAAGGGGGGAATCTTGGGACCACATAGGTCAATGCGCGTTTGCGAACTATGGACCTCGTACATCACCGCGTGCTCCATAAACTGAACTGTATGGCCGGCGGTGAGATGCCTTTGTGTCCACTCGTGGAGTTAACCGCCCACCGACCTTCCTCCTTCTACACTACTACCTCTCGCATGGACGACATCATCATTGCGTACCACCTGCGTGAGTGGCTTCTTCTCGTTATGCGCGTTGGGGACTATCCCGTTTCCTATCCTCTTTGTGCCTGACAAAGACAAAGACCAAAGGCGCCAGGATCCAAGACAAAGACAAAGGCGTCCAAGGAGACCAACGTCCTAAGGGACAAACCCACCTGTGCTTCCGACAATCAAGTCGACCTACGTTCATGAGGAACAAACCCATCTGTGCTTCCGACGATCGAGCTTTGGGCGCGATCCCCGAAACCAAAAGGGGGAATGTTGAGGGTCTGACCTCATGAGGAAATTACTATGCAGTGATTTTCTCTAAAATGACTGTGCTTAAATTGCTCTGAAAAGCAAATAATCACATCAGCGCCAAGAAACTTCATTTCCCATGATGCTTTGCACACGGAAGCATTGGGTGATGTTACCGCCTAGTACCAGAAACACGTTCTGCGCATGTGCGGGAAGCCGTGGAGCTTTCCCCGCGAACTAAGACCATAAATCTTCAGCAGAGACAAAGAAACCTCGTTCTTTTGCCCAGGATACCTGGCGGTGAGGACACGCTTGTCGAACGCTCCGACTTCTTTGAGCACGCGGAAGCTCTAAGTGCCAAGTTGAGCCACGGAACTGCTGGAAACTAAACTGCAAGCCCATCAGATCTGCTCGTTTCTGCTCCCCTCCAGCTGATGTTTGAGGACACAGAACTGCGGAGGGAAACAACAACTCCATCCAGCTCTCAGAAACGCTGTAAGTTATAACTCAGCACAGAAAGAAACTTTGCTGTCTCTGTCCAGCCCGTGGAGAAACACTCGTGAACGCCAAACAACGGAGAAAGCATCAAACCGACGGATGACGCCGGAAACCGCGGAGAAAAACGGAGAACCGTCAAGTCATAACAGCGGGGGACGCCTTGCTGCTTTGGTGATCAGGAAACTCATTTTTTTTCTCTCCTTTTCTTCTCCCGTTTCCTCTATAGTCTCAAATAAGCAATAAACCGCGTCTATTGCTTAAAAAGTAGCTTCGTGTTTTCCTCTTTCGTCCCAAACACGTCCGTCGGGTCATTTTGAAAGAATAAACTGCTTATTGATCATTGTTTGGTATCTTAAAATGGTTTCTGTCATGGCCAGGCTGAAACTAAAAGATATTAATTTGTGATTAATCTTTTGTGTTGTTTCATGATCTTTTGAAATGTTTTGAGTGATTTAAGGTTAAGTTACTACTGATTCTAAGTGCTTTGGAAGTTAAAGTGCAAGTTGCCACCCACACTTTAGCCAGACAAAGGGGTCAGCCATCTTGTATTCAAGACTCCATTTTGAATCTATACACACGCACACACACACACACACACACACACACACATACACACTACTCCTTTGTGAGAACAAAGGACCCCATTCATACATCCTCCATCACATGCAAACACATCCATCTTCAATCATATCACACGGTTATCATTCATCTATTCCACTGTTTATTCATTTGACAAATTGTTAATTAAATGTTATAAAATTCAGATTTTTGTGTCCAGTAGCTTTGTTGTGTCGAAGAGAAGTCTCTGCTCCAAGGATTCTACGAACTTCAAGAAAGACTGATAAGAGTTTTGGATTCAATTTTTCCCCGGAAAAAGGGGAATGGTGCCCCGTATATCTAAGAATATCTTAATTAATTAATAAATCAGTAAATATTCCCATATTTACAGAATTTATTGAAGAATCCAAAAGTAAGTTGAAGCTTACTAATTGTTCGCTCCTAATAACCCCAACAGCGGCATTCAGGCACATCGGGACATCTGGGACCCATGCATTCAACCTCATCACAGATGTCGTAGAAATCTGTGCAACACGAAACACACAACATCAGGAAAACAAAACGATAAACCTTATTCTAAAGGTTTGCCTTGAAACTCACGGCCACAGTAAACATGGAAGCAGACAGAGGGTCTGAGCAGGCGGTACACAAAGTATCCTCCAGGACAGGCTTTCACGTCGGCGCTGGTGTTCCACTGGCAGCAGTTGTTGTTGAAAGTGGCACACACGGGCAGGGTGACGGTGCCCTCGTGGAGCTGCGGGTGGCTGCCGTTCAGCCAAATGGGTGCATGTGTTCCACAGTGATTCTCAGGGATGCAGAAGGTGGGCATGGCATCCCCGGCCATGCCGGTGAAGCGGTACCACTCCCCAGACATGTGGCTGTCACACAGGGGCCCGCTGGACGACTGGTTTACAGAAAAATCCGTGTTCCTCCAGGGTTCGTTCAGGCTGATGTAGGCAGAACACGGGTCCAGGGCTGAGATGGGAGAGTCAATTTTAAAAATATGTTAGTATGATTACTTCTTACTGAGGTAGGTGTATAATTTTACTATGCTTAGATTTGTAGTCCAAAACCTCCATTAGAACTGATTTTATGCATTAACAGTACTTGTTGTTCCCTTGGTGATCAAAGGCAGAGATTTGTCACAAATTAACTCAGCCTTTCAATTTCAAAATCTGTCAAAAATACAAAATGTTAGCGTAAAAGCCACCGTGTAACGTCATCAGTTCAATAATACCCCGCACTCCTGTTCTCAGGATTCGTACTTGTGTTATCACTGCGCTCGCTCTGAACTTGAGACAGTTCTCCACACCTTCATCTCCTCACGCTTAGACTACTGTAACTCTCTTTTCACGTGTCTGAGAAGAACCTCCCTGAACCGTCTACAGGTGGTTCAGAATGCCTGTGCTCGGCTTCTGACCAAGTCCTCCAAACACACCCACATCACCCCGCTTCTCCTCCAGCTTCACTGGCTGCCAGTCAACTTCAGGGTAATTTCAAGATCCTGGTTCTGGTCTATAGGGCCGTACATGGACAAGCACCATCTTACATTGGTGATCTTCTTAGTCCCTACACCCCCAGCAGGTCCCTGAGGTCCAGTGGTAAAAGCCTACTGGTTGTGCAGCACCAGGCTAAAGAACAAAGGTGACAGATCATTTGCTGCTGTGGCCCCCAGACTCTGGACCTCTCTCCCCCTGAGCCTGAGATCAGTGGACTCAGTGGTCTCCTTCAAAAAGCAGCTGAAGACTCACTTGTTCAAGCTGGCTTTTGTATGACCTTCTTCAACACTCTCTCTTTATTCTGCTCTCCCCACCTATTCCTCCTTCCTCAGGATCCACTGATTTCCCTCTTTCCTGTTGACTCTCTCTCTTTCTTAACATTTTTTCTTTTAAATCCCAATTGCCTATTTTTGCCAGTTTTAAATACATTTTTAAACATTTTCTAAATGCTTTTTTACTTTTTTTTTGTGAAGCGTCTCGTGATTTTTATCTTGAGAGGCGCTAAAGAAATGATATTTTCTTCTTCTTCAAAACATCCATAAATTACTGTTATATTACAAATGATATATTATGACCAGCTCAGTGGTCTAGTGGTATGAGAGTCCACTCTGAGAGTAGGAGATCGTGGACCATATGGTCGGGTCTTACCAAGGACTTTAAAAATGGGACCCGGTGCCTTTCTGCTTGACTCTCAGCAAAAAGGGGTTTGATTACTGTAAACCACCAAATAGTTCCCGAGCGCAGCCGTGTCTGCAACTCACCGCTCCCCCAGGGGGATGGGTCAGATCCAGAGAACAAATTCACACACCAGTGTGACCTAATGAGACCTTCACTTTAATTCTTTGGGTTTAATGAGACATATTTAATTTTAAAGGGAACATATTATGCCAACGTCTCCTTTTGCATTCTTTAGACAGACAAACAGACAGATAGACAGACAGACAGATAGACAGACAGATGATAGACAGACAGACAGACAGACAGACAGATAGACAGACAGATAGACAGACAGACAGACAGACAGACAGACAGACAGACAGACAGACAGACAGATAGACAGACAGACAGATAGACAGACAGACAGACAGACAGACAGACAGACAGATGATAGACAGACAGATGATAGACAGACAGACAGACAGACAGACAGACAGACAGACAGACAGACAGACAGACAGACAGACAGACAGACAGACAGACAGATAGATAGATAGATAGATAGATAGATAGATAGATAGATAGATAGATAGATAGACTTTATTGTCCACCTCGTATTGAGGCAGAAATTTGTCTTTGACATGGCTCACCTTACCATATCGCATTCACACGAATACATAAAAAGACAATTAAAAGGTATTAGAATGTTATCATCGTAAAAAAAAATAAAACTTTAAGAATTCAGAATTGTAATTGCGGTGGGAACAAATGATTTCTTATAGACACCTTTCTTGGCCAATGGAACCCTGAGCCTCCTTCCTGATGGAAGTAACCGAAAATGTGGGTTCAATGGACGGGTTGAGTCTGCACTGATCAGGGTAGCCTTCCTGCTCACTGCTCGCTCGTGAAGAACAGGAAGTGGGATCTGAGGTGAACCTGTAATTTTGCTGTCTACTTTAACAATGCGAGAGGGTTGTGTTTTGTTTTTAACTGTAAGAAAGTTATACCAAGCTGTAATATTGAAAGTTAGAATGGATTCAATCAGTGATTTGTATACAATTGTTAGGATGTCCTTGTTCACATTGAGTGCTCTTAGCTTCCTTAGCATGTGGAGTCTTTGCAGCGCGTTCTTGTAGACACCGTTGCTGCGGACGCTGATACTCTGTGCTTCAGGCTGTGATTCTTCTGTGCGGCCATGTGGCCTTTGTAAAAACTCCAAACATAAAAACGTTGGTCTTTATGAGTAATGTAACAAAGACAAGCTGTTTCAAGAAGTCCAGGGAACTATTACAACTTAAGAAAAATATAATAAGCCCCTTTTACAGAAGTGAATGAAAAATAAAATTGAATCTTAACCAAATGTTTTATCTGCTAAAACAAATAATGAATTTTTAAGTATGGTGCGAATTGTGGCCTATTCATCTTTCCAGTTCTTCAAAAGTTCACAAGTGAAATCTCTCAACAGAAACTATTTCATGTGTACTGTCTACCTTTGCATATTGTGCACATTTGTTGGCCTATTTTAAATAATCAGTGTTTGTTTTTGTTAAAATTTGAGGACCTTTTCTTCATCACTTCACCAAGAAAAATTTCTCACGTAGGCAATCTCAGTAAAAAAAAAACTAATTTTGACCAAAACACCAGACAGATCACCAAATGAATAATAAAAAGGAAGCTGGACGTTTCTTTATTCTGATCTATGGCTGCTTTTGTGGCTCCATCTCTGCAGCCAAAGGGAAGTTTTACTTGAATCCATCACATCTAACATATTTAGTCTGGTTTGAGTCCTGGAGCTTTTAATCGCTCAAGAGATTAAATTCAATTCAAGTTTATTCATATAGCACCAAATCACAACAAGAGTCGTCTCAAGGCACTTCACAAAGTAAACATTCCAATACAGGTTAGTTCATTAAGCCAATCAGTAAAAAGTTTCCTATATAAGGAACCCAGCAGGTTGCATCGAGTCACTGACTAGAGTCAGTGTCTTTACAGCAATCCTCATACTAAGCAAGCATGCAGCGACAGTGGGGAGGAAAACTCCCTTTTAACAGGAAGAAACCTCCAGAGAATCCTGGCTCAGTATAAGGTCACTCCTTGTCTCTACGTAAGACCGAACGATTGTTTCCATTAAACTCAAACTGGTCAGACTGAAGGCTGTTTCAAAAAGTACACAACAGAATTTAACTAGCATGATTTGTGTTAGCCCAAAGCAGAACTTTGTAAAAGTTAACACAGACGTAATTAAAGCAAAAGCCAACAAGCTGCATGTTTGCATTGAGCTGCATCACACCAAGTCTGCAGCACCAGGAAAAACCAGCTGAAAGAGAAAACACGGTGCAGCAAAAGAATTGTTAGTTTCTCCCACCTCTATACTCTCTCAGCAGCGCAATTAAGAGGTATAGATGTAAAACACAAGGAGACAAGAGGCGATGCAGGCGGGTGAGAGAGGCTGGGATGGAAGGAGCGCAGCATCTTACGTGATCAGTCGGAGCGGGATGAGCTGTTTTCTACAGCAGCAACAACAATCATTCCAGTTCTCTAGGTTTTATTTACTGTTATTTTTTCACTCTCGGGGCTGAATCTTGTTCAAAAAGTGTCAACATCATCAGAGCCTGACCTGATTTCCAGTATCAACAAGATGTTAAGTCAGAAACAAACATTCACTCAGATTTCCCTTCTGTTTTCTGTTCCTAGAAGCTTTCATGTGTGATGCACTTACAAACCACACCCACGGCGTTTTCTCCTCCATCCTTCCTCATCAGACGCTACATCTTTTCAGGGTGCCGCTGCAATAAAAGCTGAAGTATAAATCTATTCAACTCAGGCCATCTGACAGATTTAACAACCTTTTATTTTTGGGGGGGAGACGTACGGCTCACCCTCGGTGCTCCAGTTCCAGCTGCACGGCAGGAGCCGAGGATGGAGCTGACTCATGTGGATGCATGCTAATGTGAGCGCTAAATCTTCCAGATGGGGCCTGAATGAGTTTGTTTAGCTGTCGAGAGGAAGGTGGAGCCCAGTCAGGCGTGGTGATGAGTCCAGCCAGTGGGTTTTATTTGTGCTGGGCACACTCTGTGCAGACAGGTCTGATTACTACCTGATCTGTAGACTTAATCACTTCAACAGAAACTGTCGAACAAGAAGGCTAAACAATCTCAAAAAGCAACACATCATGCCCTGTTCCTCCAAACTAAACAACCGAGACTAGAAAAACCCTGAATGACGTAGAAAACACGGGGGGGGGGGGGGGGGGGGGGGGGGGGGGGGGGGGGGGCACATTAGCATCTGTGGGAGAGTTCAAAGACTTTCAAAATAATGTTCCTTATATCAGAGAGGGTGTGTGTGTTATGTAACATCTACTGTAAAGCTAAAGCTGCACTCCAGAAGGGCTTCAGACCAAAAGCGGTGGCAGTCTGATGGTCCGGTGCCGCTTTGCTGCATCAGGACCTGAACCTAACCATGAATCCTGCTCTCTCGCAGGAAATCCTGAAGGAGAATATCTGACCTTTAACCTTATGCACGAAAAACCCTCCAGTGTGGCTCATTTCTGAGAGGTACGTAACTCCTCCACAGTGAGAAAGACCCTGTACTTTTACATCACGAAAGCTTGCAGCTTTCAGGTTTAGAGGTCGTTTGTTTGCTCCTTCACGCTGAACCAGGCTGGTTTGGAGAGCTTTGCTCACTCAAAGGAAATCATTAGAAAACTTTGTTTACTTAAGCGGAATGTGTCTGTTATTAGAATGTGTTTTCTGATCTGAAACAAACAAAAAATAAAAATGGAAAATACAGAAAAATCATTACAGAGTCAATTGTTTTTGAACCCTAAAAACCGACTTAGTAAACCAACAAGATTTAGGAAAATGTCTAAACTTTGGAAACTCATTGGTGACCTTTTTAAAGCTCTAGAACGTGATTGGAGTTAATTGCAACATGAAGGTCATTCCCTCTTAAACACAACATAATGAGGTCTAAACAAGCCGACTGCTTCCTTGCTTTAAAAAGGAGATTTCTAATTTAAGGTCTAGACATACGAACAGTTTGCTCACCTGCACCTGTGGCTGCAAGCATCTCCAGCTGAAGATGGATGACCATTAAAAAAATCATGATGTTCTGTCTCACTGTTGGTTAAAAGACAATTAAAGCTCCGACCTGAGTCCCGGTGTTACCTCTAACATCACCCACTGATAGGTGGTTCTCGTTTATGTCATGTTCACGACCTTGAAACCCCCCCCCCCCCCCCAACCCAGACAGGAGGCCATCCTCCCATTGTCTCTGCTCCCCTCCCTCCAATCCCGCACATCATCATTCAAAGTAGAGATGAGCATTTTAGCACTTCACTGAAGCATCCTTCACTTCAAGGATACACACCGCTCCACTTTCCAGACTTTTGGTGTGGACACACCGTGCTGGAGGAGTAAAACAGCCATGAAGGCCATCAGTAGCAGAACTTTCTATGGTGAGGCTGAAGCGGTACCTCAAGCATTATGAGGGTTGCTTCTCTTTTGTGAGAAATGGGTCAGAACAATAAAATCAAATTGTTTATAAAATGAAGGCTAATAAAAAGTTTTAAGTGCACCAGTTGTCTGTGACACAACTTTTCCTCCAGAGAATCTGAGAGCAGCTTCATTTTGGTCGTTATGAACATTTCTGTCGGAATCCTTCAGGATAAATTAGAGCTGCGTTCAACGGTAGGTGCACTGCAAACCAAAAACGGATGTTAAAATAATACTTGAAAACTCCAACCCTCTGCTAGCTGGTTAAATATTTAACAAAAAAAACTCAAACTCAACTACTTTTAATAAAATCGAAATCGACTCAGAAAAACACCTTACTGTCCCATATTAGAGAAATATTGGCAATTAAGCAGCAAGTAGACCCACACAAAGGTATTTACTAGAGCGAACTAAATTAAAATAGGTATAAATTTTAAGATAAAAAACAAACAAGATTAAATCAAGTCATTGGAGACTAAATAATACTAATAAAACTACTACTACTACCTAACAACCAAAAAACTAAAAATAAATAAACCTAGCTTAAAATAAAGTTTAACTTCCAAAAATGAGTAGTGCTGAGTCGGATTTCTTTTAGTGTGACTACCTTTTAATCTGAGTGTTGGATTAACAATGACCCCTTTATGTGTAAGAAAATGGGGAAAAGTGGTTAGTTAGCAAAAATCCTGTAAGAGGTTGAAGGTCATGAATAGAATAGAATAGAATAGAATAGAATAGAATAGTCTTTACTGATCACCTGGTGGGGAACTTTACTCGCTACTTGGAGAAATGGAATAAATAATAATAATAAGATTACAGGTGAACCACAAAGGCAATAAGCTATTATTGTAACCTTCAACCATTAAACTCAATGAATGAAAAGGATTCTTGTATTTCCAGAACTATCCAGCATAAGGGACACAGACATACTATGTAAATCTGGAATTGCACAATATTGAGCCATCATCATATAAATATAGTATTGAACACATACTGAGTATTGCATTGGTGTGATTGTGTACCAGGAGAACGCCAGTACCAGTTAAACTGAGGCGTTCTACACTCTTGCTGCAGCGGGGATGAATGACCTACGGTAGCGTTCTGTTTTACATCTGGGATGTCTCAGGCTGCCTCTGAAGGAGCGGTCCATGGTCTCCACAGTAGGATGCAGTGGGTGGGAGGGGTTTTCCAAGATGGAGGTCAGCTTCGCCATCATCCTCTTTTCACGCACAAAACCCGATAAACTGAGGATTACGCTAGTTTCTAATCTAGATCTGGTAACACTTTACAATAGCACTAAGTAATGTTAATAAAGGGACCCTCGTAGTAACATTTTTTTTTTTTTTTTATCTTACTTAGTTTCTAGTTTGTCTTCGTTTGTATTTTCCATGGTTATTTTATCGGTTTCATTGTTCCCGTGAACCGGCTTGTGATTTTTATCTCAAAATGTGCTAAATCTGAAAACACTTCACTTGTTCCAGCTTTGAGTGAGTATGGACTTTGAGCCATGAAGGTGACCTGTCAACTTAAGAAGTCAAACATTTTTAAAACCTAAGAAATAACTGGTTTCCTTTTTAAAAATAAATCCCATCATATTAATCACAATGTAAGCTGCATCTGAATATGAATGAATTCATTTTAAACAAATACTTCTTTGAGAGGGTCCATCACATCCTCATCCCGCGATGATGACGAATGACCCACACTTGTATAGCACCTTTTAGAGTCAGAGGACTCCAAAGCGCTTTGCACTACAGCGTATAATTCATCCATTCACACACCGATGGTGATGAGCTACGGTGTAGCCACAGCAGCCCTGGGGTGCGCTGACAGAGATGAAGCTTCTGAGCACAGGTGCCACCGGTACCTCCTACCAGCACCAGCAGGCAAAGGGGGTAGGTGTCTTGCTCAAGGGCACAACAGCAGCCGCAATCTCTGCCAGGATCAAACCAACAACCTTCTGATTACCGGACAACGTGCTCTACTTCCTGAGCTACTGCGGCCCTTTTATGACAAATTGAATTATTGCATCAATTTTGATGTATTTTTAAACAATAAAACCATATTTTCTTCATTTCTTAGATGTTTAAATGGCAAACATTTAGCAAGCATGTTGAAAAGTTTCTACTTTAAAACTTCAGAACGTTTGTTGTACTAAACCACCTCACATTACATAAGCGAACCTGTTTGTGTCAGATGACCACTGAGGTGTTTTTTCACAGATCTATCTCTTAGGATGTCCTCCAGAGGAAGAACCAGAGGCCAAGGACGGCTGCAGGAAATCACGGAGAACTGGAAAAGTGGCTTTTTATAAACACGTCACATAAATCACATCAGGACCACTAGCTCCAAAAACCAGATGAGGATTTTATTGATAATTGAATTCCATTTCTCTTTTATACATATTTCATAAATGATACAGGATTTTTCTTTTTTTTTTTTTGCCAACATTACAGCGTCATGTCAACTGGAGGAAAACAAACTCGAATAAGAAGTTGGAGTGAAGCTCGTTCCATCCTGCTTCTGCTGCACACTTATTGTCCGATTGTAAATGAACTCGTGAGATTGTGAAAACTTAACACGCTTAAAATAAAAATTATGAAACTTTGGAGGGAAAAAATGAAACTGTATGAAAAAACACAAACGAACAGGAGTTAGAGGTGTTCCCAGGTCGGTTTTAAAGCATGTGGCAGAGATTTCTCCTTTAGGTCAAAGGTCACCAAGCCTCCTTTATAGGTCCACGGATGTTTTTTCTCTTATTGGGACAGTCATGGTGAGGAGGGGATCATGGGAGGAAATAAGATGGAGATGGACCGAACTGGGATTTGAGTGTTTGGTTGGCTGGGACGTAAATCACATTTGGCAGGACAGACTTTAGAGACGCATTCCTGTCCACGGCCCTTTATAACTAGGAATCTCTACAAACAACGTTCTTAAATGATCTTTGCACTTATTTTGAATAAATCATCTTTATTTGTACATATTTCCCATGTAAACATACATTCATGCAACACCCTCTTTAGAGTAAGTTTCCCTATATTTGATATATTTTATTTTAAAAAACAAGAAAAGAAGAAAAAAGGCAATTAACGGTGGATGTGGTGATGAAAAAGAAGGAGGTGACGATGGGAGATTGAGTAGAAACAGCAGAGGGGAGGACAGCACCTTCACTGCTTTTTTGCATCTTAGGGTGTGTGTGTGTGTGTGTGTGTGTGTGTGTGTGTGTGTGTGTGTGTGTGTGTGTGTGTGTGAGAGAGAGGGAGAGTGAAAGAGAGGGAGCTGACATATTCAGCAGAAATACATTTAAAGCTAACGACGAAGGTGGGATGAGGGTGGAAGTGATTTCTACTAGCACTGACAAGCAGCAATTAGGAGCTAAAGACTCATGCCTTCAGCTAATGCACTCTAAAACTCGTTTTCACACTCAAAACATCCAACATCACCAGAAAACACCTCCTAAGTCAGAAAGAACCAACATGTAGTGTGTAATTGCTGCATTGTCAACATAGTTTACATCTATTTCTTTTTTTGTTTGTTTTTATTCGAAAGGCACCATTTCTCTGGTGGATAAAACACAAAAAATGAGCGAACACTGCGTCAGATTGGCCAAATCCTGCTAAATCTGCTATTTCTGATATACCCCCTCCCACCCAAAATAACACGCATGCTAATGTCAAATCTGCATCTCTTTAGTAGGATTCAGCCAGCTGTTTGCACCAGGATGTTGAACTTTGTGGACATATTGAGTCACTGCGAGCCTCCCCTCTGCAGAGGTGATCTTAAAAAAATATATAACTGAGCCGGGCAATCGCCAAGCCACCGAATGCCAACCTGAATGATATTCCTAATTTAAAAAAAAGGAAAATGGTAAATATATAAGTTTTCTATAACAACTGATAGAACAACTTCACCAAGATGTGGCAACGAAAAGCATCCAATCAGGTATAAAACTGTTATATTCTCCTACATGTTCACACATTTCTACTGAGGGCATACCACAGCATGCAGTCTACCCTGCGTTGTCATTGAGGGAGCAGGGGGGAGGGGGGGAGATGAGCGTTACAGTAGCAGTGGGAGGAGAAAACTCTCTCAGGATGAAAATATTCCATTAATGCAACTTTAAAGCTCCAATCTAATAACCTAATGTCCATTTATCGATCAACCTTTGCATCTGTTGGGTTACAAATCGCTCAGAAACCTTCAGATTAAAGCCGATTTCACCCAGATTTGGCCTCATCGTTGCACGGGAGCATGAATTTTGCTTTGTTATAATGGTAGAAGTGGATGGGAATGATCTCAATATGACTTTATTTTGGTAGGAGAGCTCCTCCCCCCACCGAGACAGAATAAATAAATCTAAACTAGCCTCTGGTCATCTGCTTATTTGATTGTATACATATATAGTCCTATGTTTTCATAACAAATATACTATGGCTTTCAAAATAAAAAGTGCCAAAATATTGTTTTTGTTTTTTTGGAATAAAAGAACACACAGTGATGTTTTTGTCGGTAGTACTCTCGTAGGCCGGGCCGCTGCGGAACATCAACAGGAAGAGGAAGTGAGGCGCCGTTGTTCCTGCATCCGGGCAGGGGAAGATATGCTCCCGACGAAGGTCACCACAGGAAGGGACAGCTGTCCGTCACCAGGAGGAGGCGTGGCTCAGGGGGAGGGCGGGGCAGCAGGAGTCAGCTGCAGGGAGACGAACGCCTTTCTGGTGGTGAGGCTGCAGTCAGTTCCTTGTAAACGTGTCCCTGAAGCCTGAGGGTGTGTGTGTGTGTGTGTGTGTGTGTGTGTGTGTGTGTGTGTTCGTGTGTGTGTGTGTGTGTGTGTGTGTGTGTGTGTGTGTGTGTGTGTGTGTGTGTGTGTGTGTGTGTGTGTGTGTGTGTGTGTGTGTGTGTGTGTGTGTGTGTGTTGTTTTACTGCTTGAGGACAGAGCTAGTTTGATGTGTTGACCTGTGGTGTTACACACGCACGCACGCACGCACACACACACACACACACACACACACACACACACACACACACACACACACACACACACACACACTGAACAAAAGCTGCCTCCTCTGTGTCTTCCCTGTCATGAAGTGCCAACATGTGATAATTCACATTTATCCTGCAGGTCGTCCCTCCAGAGTTTTGAGGCATATCCACAGTGCCCAGTTTGATTTTGTAATCATCATCATCATCATCATCATCATCATCATCGTCGTCGTCCTCATCATCTTCTTCTTTATGTCACCTTCGTCATCTTTCAGCTGTGAGAAGTTTCAGTTCTAATTGTTCTCACCCTCCTTTTTTGATTTTTCCTTTTTTTTTGCAGTTTTCCGTCTGAATTCCAAGTCAGTAAAGCAAAAAAGCAAAAAGCAAAAAAGAAAGCCAACTGAGAACAAATAAACTTCCACAGTTGAGAAAGGGATGGGATTAAGGAGGAAAGGTGTTTTCATGGGGAGGGGGGAAGGGGGTTCTTGGACGGCAGAAGAGAGTAAGGGGGTTGTTGGAGCTCAGAGAGGGAGGAGACACACTTGCCATCAATTTTTAGCATCTGTGAGCTGCTGAAGTGGGAGCTGAAGCTGAAGCGGGTCTCGTAGGCGCTTCAGGTCCAACTCCACCTGAGGACAAAGAGAGACATGGGAGGATGAAGGGAGGAGAAGAACATTTGGGACAAATGTTTGGGGAGTGGAGGGCAACCGAGCAGCTGTCACAACCCCGAACACTGATTGGTGAGAAAGGACAAACACCCAGCGAGGCACAGTGATGTACCTCGGCAATATCGTCCTTCAGCTTGTTGTATTTGTCAACATCGAAGCGTGTCCTTTTCACCCCCTTGTGGAAGAAGAGCAGATACTGCCGGTCTCTGGCGTCAGGATAAACATACTCCTGCAGGTCACACAGAGGCAAAGACAGAGCGGTTTGTAACAGAAACCAGTTCATCAGATGTTCCGATGTTTCGTCCTTGACCCAAAACACAAGCAGAAGTTGAATCGGGCTGAAGAAAGGTAAATTCACATGTTTAAGTGTAGCAAACCCCCATAGGTCTTTACTCATGACTAAATAACACGAGGTGATCAGTAAACAGTGTAAGGTACCTTTTTTGCTCCACAGAAACCCAACTCAGCTGAAAACAGTTGGTGTTGCTAGACATTTTGTTCAGTTTTAAGTCTTTTTTTCAGACTCTTGAGTCAGAAAACGGCTGCAGGCAGTGAAACAGAAAGCAAGAACCTCCGGAGCAACCAGTGATCCGCCCCATAGCCAATCAGCAGCCAGAATCACGTTGCCGGCCCAACTTAGCCTTGCCAGCTACCTCAATGGAGCAGGGACTGAAAATAGGGCAGAAAGCAAATACCAAACCGTGCCCTTAGAAACAGTGGTCAGGCCGAGTGCATCAGTCTGAGTTGCTCCGAGTGCTCCTGGAAAACCACCTTATGCAACATTCCAGGATGTACTGGGAATATCCAGACTTCAAATGAATGAAAAACCTAAAACAAGTTTCTAGTACTAGCCGACATCATGGAGCCATTGGGCTAAACTGGCCAATCAGCACACAACTCATTTAATGTTCATGTCCTGGCTGAGTTGGCAGGGTTAACCAGTCTTTCTATTGTAGGGTTTTAGATGGGGTTGTGCTTGTCCATTCATCAGGGATCCTGGGCCATTTTGAGCTCCAACAAAGTTTCATGGGCGTTCCCAGGCCAGATGATAAACATCGTCGCTACAGCGTGTCCTGGGTCTTCTTTTTGGTCTCCTCCTGTTGGACGTGCCCCGAAAACCTAACCTGGGAGGTGTCCAGGAGGTATCCTGACCAGATGCCCAAGCCACCTCAACTGGCTTTTCTCAGTTTCCAGTTTTGAAATAAAGTCATTCTAGAACCCCTTAATTTAAGAATTTTTCATGCCAAAATATTTGCATATATATATATATATATATATATATATATATATATATAAATGACTAACATCTGCCGATACCAATATTGAGGCAGACATATTGTTCATCCCTAGTATTATAGGATAGATAGATAGATAGATAGATAGATAGATAGATAGATAGATAGACAGACAGACAGACAGACAGACAGACAGACAGACAGACAGACAGACAGACAGACAGACAGACAGACAGACAGACAGACAGACAGACAGACAGACAGACAGACAGACAGACAGACAGACAGAGAGAGAGAGAGAGAGAGAGAGAGAGAGAGAGAGTATTACAAGGCCTAAATTCCACATACGTGGGATATTTTAATCAGAGTTTGGCTTTTATCAATATCGTTACACACTGGAGGCTTTTCCAGTGTGTAACGATGACCTGTATAGGTTAAAGGTCAGACATTCTCCTTCGGGATTTTCTGGTAGATGTTAGAATTCATGGGTTCATACGTTTAAAGCAAGTGCTCCAAGTCTTTGTGTTCTTTTAGGTCAGCAGAGATTTTGAGCTAAGAACTGTCCCACGATGCCTCGCGACCTTTGACCTAAAAAAAAACCCCCAGCACTTTAGATGCTGTTCTGGATTATTTTGTTCTTTAATCTCTTTAGAATGGAGCACAATATGTTGCTTTTTGAGATCGTTTAATCTACTTCCTGTTTTCAAAAAGGTTCTTTTGAAGATATTTATTAATCCTAAAGGTCTGGTAGTAATCAGGCCTAGTGTGGCTGGGGGTCTCCACACAGACTTCCAATAATGTGAACAATCACAAGTTGTTTTTTTCATAAAAGTTTACTTTCTCTTAATACATTACATGATGATTGAAAACTGCATTTTATATTTACTTGGGTTATCTTTGACCACTGACATTTGTTTTTCTGATCTGAAACTTTAAAGGCACACTATGCAACTTTTTTTCTATTTTTAAACCATTTTCTTGAGCCAGTATGTGCTAAAATGACCCTTTACAGGGTTAATGAAATGTCACTCAGACCCCGACTGTCCTCTGTGGCCAGAAGACCACACTTGCAATTTCAGAGTGGCAGACTGGTCCCTTTTGGACTTGCCTGGCTCTGCAGTCTGCTTTGAACACGTTTCCAGCATGTTTTAGATTGCAACACAGCTGATTTGTTTGATTTAGTGATGAATCACTCCTGTAGACACTAACGAAGGCTGAGGAGACGTTTCAGCTGTTAGATTAATGTCTTAAAAAGATGAACGCACAGCGAGGAGATGAGTTTCACTTTTACTAACTAGACACTAGGGGGTGCTAAAAGCCAAAACTGCAAAGTCTACCTTTACCTTTAACTGTGACAAAAAGCAAAAACAAACACAATCCGTAAAGACACAAATACTTTTTCACAGATTTTTTAAATTAAGACGCTGCTTTTTCCGGGGTCTTACCTGACGCGTGAGAACAAAGTAGGCATACATGGCCATGGCGGTGCCGTATGTGATGAAGTAAGTGACCGGCTCCATGATATCCCAGGAGTACTCCCACCAGGTCAGCCTGGCCAGGATCCCAAACTGGGTTGCCATGTATGCCATGCCTCCCCAAAGCACCCAGGTGGTGCGCCGCTCCGCCTTCCTACTCAGCTCCTCTCTCACCTACAGACATCAGAAACACGGTCAGAATTACGTCCCATTGGTGCAGCATCACAGCTGAAACTACATGTTGAAATAATGCTAATAAAGAACAACTTTTGTGATTATGGTTACTGTTTTCCTGCTTTTAGAGTTTGAGTTAATGATTGGGAATTCTTTGGAATGTATTGTTTTTGGGATAAGGCAACAACGGATCAGGTTGTAAATAGAAAATTATTTGGAGAAGATACATTTAAAATTTTAGAGGCTCTGAGTAGGATTGCTGAAAATCAAAAATCTCATTATGGAGTTTCAGCACAAACACATGGAGGTTTCGATTCATTTTTGCAGAAATTATAAAGATGATTGTAAATGAAAGCAGCCAAAACCTGGATCTCTAACCTGTCCTTTATTTGGTGTATTGAAAGCTCACAGTAACTGGCGGGATTTTAATATGTTGCGAAACGATTTATTGGACCTTCTCTAAAGGGCGGAGCTGAGAGTTGAGATCCTCCAGTCGTCCAATCAGCTCTCGTTCTTTGCTGAGTTGGTGCTCCTCGATGCGCAGTGTGGTGTACAGCTGCTGAACTAGAAATTTTACATCATTTAGCCTGTCGGCCTCTTCGTGGGGCAATATCTCTGTGAAAACAAATAAAACTGCCTCAATTCAATCCGGCAACAGCAGCTGTAACTAAATCATTTGGATTAAATGACACAAAATTGGACTTGTGTTTGCTGGGAATCACCTCTCCTCGGTGGCCGCACATGGTGCGTGGTATCGTTGATGACGAGTTTAAAGTCATCCAGCAGCAGGATGTCTATGCCTGTGGAGGAGGCGATCCTCGCACCATCTGCAGAGAGAGACAAACAAGGAAGGAGGCAGCTGAACTGCGATGAAGAGTTTCCACTTTCAATTCTTGCTCTTGATACAGTTTTATTGTGTTTCAGTTGGTAAGAGCTGGGTATGCACGGTTTGTGTAGGATAAATAAAGCGTGCGTTGGTGCGTTGGTGAGTGTACCCATGGAGTAGACGGCTACCCGGTCAATGCCTCTGTCCTCTGCCTGGAGCTGTGTCAGGAAAACTCCTACGCAGTCACTGAGAGGCTTGAGGGTGAACTGGCAGCGCTCTCGCCTGGATGGCAAACTCACTGAGATCACAGGCAGCCCGTTGTGATACACGACCGTCACCTCTGAGAGGGAGAAGCAACAGAAACTCAAATCACTTACAATTGCAAACACGATTTTGCAAGTCTATCAAAACTTTGTCATCCAAAAAGTGTGTCTGTGCAGTCTGCACAATTCTAAATGGTGTATTAAAGGTGTGGACATTATATCGGCATCAATATCGGTATCGGCAGATGTTAGTCACTTTTTAACACATCAGTATCGGTTCGATAAATAAAACCGGGCCAATATTAACAACCAATATTTTTTCCATCTCGTCTCCATTTGTTTGCCCGTTTCAGAGGGTGAGGGGGTGACGTGTGATTGTTTAGTCATGTGAACAGTGAATGAAATCATCTCAGAACCATAAATGTGTGTTGTGTGTACATAATAATGCAAAATCAGCTTAATCATTTTCATTCTATACAAAATCTGCTGATTTAATGTCAGTATATCAGTATCGGCAAATATCGGTTATCGGCCATATCAGTGATCTTCGGATATCGGTATCGGCCCAAAAATTTCATATCGGTGCATCACTAATTAAAAGTGCCTATATTTATACAAATAACTGCCAAAACAAAAACAATGTGACTATCAAAGACCAGAGCAGTTTGTGGCATACATTCAGCTTCATATATTTATTATCACGAGGGGTATAATGGGTATTTTGCTTCTAAAGATAAAAACAAACGAAATGGAATAATTTGCAGCAGTGTTTTTTCCCCCCATAAAAACAGGGCAGGTATGTCAGGAAAAGTCTAGGTTCTAAGAACAAACTGAAAAATTCAGGCCATCTACTCACTTTATAATAAAGAGCACATGTTTATGCAAGTCTACAAATCTTTATCACAACTTTATCATGTATTTTCATCTGGAAGATGTAACCTCTCCTGAATCCGAAAGCGGAGCGTAACGTATTAAGAGTGCTTTACCCACGGGTTCCCTTCCAAACGGGGGCATTTCAGACACAATCCAGGATCTAAAGCATTCCACCGAGCTGGTCCCACGAGGTAAAAAAAACCCACAGGAGAATTAAAACAACGTGCGTGTTTTCAGAAGTTCCCACAATAAGCAAGGAGAAAGATGACTGCTTGTATCCAAAATGTTTATGTGACTTCTTTTGAAAAGTTTCCAGATGTTTTATACTCTTTTTGTGTTCGACTTCCTTCCAGGTCCCATCTAAACTACAGAGTTGATCTGTTTTGGAAGCAAAGCCCAAAGCGTAATCAAATTGTCCCTTCACTTCCGGGAAGCATCCAAAGTGTTAGACTTTGCAGCCGGTGAAAGGGAGCCCGTCCACCATAACAGTGGCTCCTGTAAACACTGAGGAAGGATGTGGGGACATTTCAGCTGTGAGGTAAGGTGTTAAAAAGATGGACGCACAGGGAGAAGATATGTTTTGCTGTCGGTTCCACAAACGGGGGTGCTAGGGGGAGTTACAAACAGGCCAAAACTGGCTTAAATGGTAAATGGCCTGTATTTAATATAGCGCTTTCTAGAGTCCTGGAACCCCCCAAGGCGCTTTACAACACAATCAGTCATCCACCCATTCACACACACATTCACACACTGGTGGGGATGAGCTACGATGTAGCCACAGCTGCCCTGGGGCGCACTGACAGAGGCGAGGCTGCCGAGCACTGGCGCCACCGGTCCCTCCGACCACCACCAGCAGGCAGTGTGGGTTAAGTGTCTTGCCCAAGGACACAACGACAGCGACAGACTGAGCGGGTCTCGAACCTGCGACCTCCCGATTGCGAGGCGAGCACTTAACTCCTGTGCCATGGGCTTAAGTCTTTGGTATGACCCGACAGTGGATATGAACCCAAATCACCCGGTCTCAGTGTCGACACTCGTACGACTAGGCAACTGAAAATACGTGTCGGACTACAAACGTTTGTCTCGCCAAACTGACGCCATAGAACTAGACACGGAGAAGAGGAGAAGACTAGTTTAGCAAGCTTCAAATCCTTCTTCCAGCGTGACAAAAGGAGCATTAAATGTGGAGAGCACCGTTATAAATCTGACCAAGTGGTAAGTAGCTCTACGCTGGAGAAGAAGAACTCCTGCGGTGATGTCATACATGTGATGTCTGATTTGTAGTCATTTTATCTACGAAGTTTTACAAGCTAATATGTCTCAGGTTTAGAAATGGTCGAAACACACATCATTTCTTTTACTTTCATTTATATTGAAGTTCAACATATGTGTGATTCAGGGCATGAGGCAAAGCCGGCAAAGCATTCGTGTTTTCTTTGTTCCGGTGACCCCTGAGCCGGCTGGAAGGGGAGAAGTCTTGGGCTTGGGGGTTACACAACCACTTTTACGGAATGAAGACAGGGATTCACTTCAGTGGCAGTGGTCTGCCAACACGGCATCTGCATGTTCACAGCTGATCCGTTTTACATTCTACCAAGGCAATGGTCGTAGAGGAGTTAAAAACCCGCCCTGTAAACTGGAAGGTTGCAGGTTCAAACTCCATGCAGTCTATCGCAGCTGTTATGTCCTAGGGCAAGACATGTAAGGGCTTTCGTTCGCTCTGCTCCTTCTTCATGGAACAGGTTGCAAGAAAACTGAAAATTAACTTATCTACTTGAATACATTTAAAACCAGACTGAGAGCACTTGAGATGGATGTGCTGTAACTGCCTTCTGTCATTTTGTAAACAACTATGAGAAATGTTGTGACTGTTTCCTTTGCTGCCTCTTGGCCAGGACTCTGTTGAAAATGAGGTTTTTAATCTCAATGGAACCTTCCTGGTTAAATAAATAAATAAATAAATAAATAAATAAATAAATAAATAATGAGCCCATCTTGCCTGCTGATGGTGGTCTGAGGGACCGGTGGTGCCAGTGTATGGAAGCCTCACATCTGTCAGTGAACCCCATGGCAGCTGAGGCTACACTACCTCCTCTCATCCTTGTGTAAATGTGTGTGTGTGTGAACTAGGGCAGGGCGATACGACCTAAAATCAATATCACGGTATATCGAGGAGTTCACCTTTGATAATGATAAATGGACGATAACCACATGTATGCACAAAAACAAAAGCTGTCCACTAGATGGGGCCGTCACATGTATTACATTGAGCCACATGTGGCTCAAGGTGGCACAGGTCCTAAAGGGACATGAATGTCTACAGCCCACACACATCTTTTCATAATTTTTATTATCGAATTTATTGTCATGGGAAGAACGATTTCAATTAGACTCAGAAATTTCCATAACGATACATGTTGCCATTGTGTGAATGGATGAATGATTCACTGTAGCATGAAGTGCTTTGGCGTCCTCTAGCTCAAAAAAAGCATCATAAAAGTGAAGGTCATGTATTCATAAACTTGACCTTTAATGAATAAAGAAAAACCTTAATTATAATATAAATAAATCCCGTGCTTCCACAACAGACTCAAATACACAACTGAGCGCTGCCTCGTCAAAATAAAAGCCCCAATTCCGCAGAATTAATACAGATAATTTGCTGGCAATACTTAAACTAAAGCTGATTGTTTGACAAATGCTGATGTTTCCCATGTTAACTAAAAGACCTAATAAGCCTCTAGATGATGCTTCCATGGAGTAACGACTATCTAAATGAAATTTGGGAACCACCTGAAGTTATTCATTTCCCAAAATATTGTCGCTAAAATGACAAACAGGAAGGAATTAATTAGTGCATGCAGGAGTAAGGGAATGCACCTCAAGACAATTTTCGAGTTCATAATTCAGATTTTGTGTGCTGTTTAGTGCCAAATTCTGCACGCCGTTTTTAACAACACTAGTTATTTTCATCTCCAACGGCTCCCCAGAGGCATCTTCTTGCATACTAAAAGGGTGAGTAATACAGCTCTGTTAGTCCGTAACCAAACCATGGTTATCAAGAGCCTGCGCAGCTTATGCCATTATCATGCTGAATGGGCTCCAACGACAGAGCCATGAATCAACGCAGAGGGCTGTGCGCCCGAGGAGGAGATGGTCCAAGCTGCCGTGTTGCTGCAGCATATAAAAGCCTCTGGCTGCTGCTTCGAGCCACTGCGGTGAATCAGCAGATCTGTGTCTGGATTCGCACAGAGGTGGAGGATCACCAGTTGGCAGCCTCAGTTCTTGGGCTTCTTTCTTTTGAAAGTCTGTTCAAAGGAGCAGCTGTAAAGATATTCCATTCCACATCTCTTCATCTTTATTGCAGTGACACTTTGAAACCTTGCCACAGGTAGAAGGGTTGTTCTTCTCTTGTACCCATTCTCTTTGTACCTCTATTATCCTGCCATCACTGGCACACAGAGGAGCTCGTCTCTCTTACAAGCCCTGCAGGTATTAAAATTCACTTCAAAATCAAATGTTACTGCTTGGACCTCTCAGCTCACTGGTCTTTCTCTTCCTCCATCCCTAAGAAAAAGATGCTAAATAAACAAAAATTCGTCATTTCTCAGGTTTTTCTCAGATGGAGAACAAAAGTTGGTCCGAACAGGGAGATTCTGTTCAGTGGGAAATCCCTAGCAATCTAAACAAACCATAGCAGTAGCAAAAGCTCTGCAGGTTGGTCTAGCCACGGTTTTTTGTAGCCTCAGCATGTCAACCATTGGCTTGGCTAAGTTTTGGCCAGCCAATCACATTTAATTAATTTGTAAATCAAATGTTCCCGGAACGCAAATACTGATGTCAAACCAAAGTTCGCTAAAGGCAGAGCAGATGCCAGAACACGCGCGCGGGGGGGGGGGGGGGGGGGGGGCGACACAGTTTGACAAGTAATTAAAATTGCGTCCACATTTTCTACGTTAACACACATTTCTTTTAGCAACGGTAGTTTCTGCATCTTTACTGTTCCCCTGCTTCGGCCCTCTCCCCCCTCCCCCTGCGCAGCGGTCACAAACTCACTGATGCGCCTGCAGCCTCTCAGAGTTCCTGCTGATCTAAAGATTGAAAGAATAATTTCATTTTCTGTTCCTCACTTGGTGTCTGTTTGTTGCAACCACCAGGTACAAAAAGGAACTTGTAATAATTTGACTATTTTTCTGTCCTCTCTGTTTATTATCTTCCTGCATCTCCTCTCAATCCTAAAGAGAAACTGCTACCTGGCTTCACATATTTTCACCTCATGAGTTACCTTTGAACTGCAGTTCAAAAAGATCTACCGACTGCAAAAATAGTGGAGTGCGCGCCGACCGCACCAGTGAGGTGAAGTCACCAGAGGACGAAACAGGTGATATCAGGCACAAACAAAAGACAGAAAGCATAAAATAATATGAGCCGACATAAACGATCACGTGTTAACGTTGTTTTTGAGGTGGCGACACTTTGAGAATGTTACTGTGGCCGTGCTCAGGACGCAGCTGTCTGGAGCGCATCAACCATCAGAGCTCTGTGCCTCTCAGGTCAAAATAATCCTCGGAGAGTCCACATAGATAATGTAATATAGTAGAACCAGGATCGTTTTTGGGCTCCCCCTGGGTGTGGAAGCTGAGGTCTTCCAGGAGCTCCCTTTAGCTCACCTGTAATTCGAATCCTGCGTATCTCACAAGTTGGTCGCATGAGTTGCCGGAACCTAGTAGACAGTTGCCGGAACGGTCCTTTCAAAATAAGATAGTTCCCGATCTTGTTCAGGCAAGATCCGACTCTAAGCCCTGGTCCTAGCGCTGCTCGATTACATGCAAAAACAGTTCAAAGGACAACCATTGATTCCGCCCCTACGACTGAGCTGCGTCTTTGGATCGTGGCCAGATTATAAATGTACACGAATAGGATGGTTTGCCAGGTTAGAAGGTTAGAGGAAGAACAGGACTCACCTTCTGGAGCAGCAGAGGAACACAACAGTCTCTGGCCGTGCCACGAGGGAGCACCGCTCCAAACCTGCACACAGACACGAGAGAGAAAGAAGCAAACTGAATATTCTATTCAATTCAATTCAAAAATACTTCATTAATCCCAGAGGGAAATTGATTGCTGTAGTAGCTCAGAATAATAATAAGTATCAAGTCGTCAAAGAGTTGTTGTATATTACAATGGCTGTTGGCAGGAAGGATCTCCAGTAGCGGTCATTGTTGCAGCAAAACTGAAGAAGCCTCTGACTGAAGACACTCTTCCGTTGTCGGACAGTCTTGTGAAGAGAATGCTCAGGGTTGTCCATCATTTTATTGATTCTCTGGAGAATCCTTCTTTGCATTACCTCCTCCAGTGGTTCCACAGTCGTCCCCAGAACAGAACCAGCCTTCGTTATTAGGCTGTTGAGCCTTTTCAGGTCCCTGCTTCTGATGCTGCTACCCCAACAGACGACGGCTGAAGAGATTACACTCTCAACAACAGACTTGTAGAAGATCTGCAGCATCTTGCTACAGACACTGAAGGGCCTAAGCGTCCTCAAGAAGTGCAGTCTGCTGTGTCCCTTCTTGTCAGGGCCAGATTAACACTTTGTTGTACCCTGGGCAACAATATTCAAGGGCTCCATCATCACGACCCAAGGATCACCATAATGTGGTCACATACAGAATATTTTACTGTAATATGCAGTAAATATACTCAATACTTGAATGCCTGACATCACGTAATCTGCTCAGGGTAACCTTTGACCCACCTCGTGTGGACTGACCAATGAGGAGAGGGTCTTAACTTGAGGCCCTCTCTTCATTGGTCAGTCTGCATGAGACTGACTCTCAACTGATGTTCAAAGTCATAGACAGCGAAGCGTCTCTGTGCAGCGCAAAAGCCCGGGTGGACAGTTTGTTTAATGTAGGGTGATCATATTTCCATTTCCAAAAAAGAGGACAGGGGATCTGTGCCTATGACGTCACACTATGGCAACGCCACACAAACCACGTTGGGACCCATTTTTCTGTAAGAACTAAAATAATATCAGATTCTGCCAATAAAAGGGCTCTAAAACAATTCATGTGTAAATATTTAACATATTTACTGCAAAATCTCATTTTTCTGCTTCAGTGCTGCAACAAGGTTGTATTAATAAGAAATTATTATACCTTTTGTTTTACTACAGCATTGGTACGCTTCCTGCGCACAGATTGTTAAGGATGCTTGTTTCAGCTGTGAGATTAGACGATAGGATCAATGAGAAAATAAGTTGTAAGGGAAACTCTGGTCTGCTCTCATCTGATCTGTTCTTTTGAAAAGTCACGCTCATGACAACATATGTTCTAGCTGTTATTAGCTCAGAGTAATTATCATTTTGCAAAATGGTTTCTGCTTTGCAGCAACATTGTTTGCAGGCCGCAGCCCCACCGAAAAGAAGGAGCAACGGATCAGATCCAAATTTCAGAATATTACACAGATGATCACATCAAATCATAAAAACAACATAAAACCTGTTTACAACAGAATGCAGAGACAAAAAACCCTCATCTTATTTAGCAGACACCAGATTAAGCATAATGGGAGAACATGAGCTGCACATGTTTCAAATTACACGTTTGGGTGAGCCTCGGGCACTAAATGACTGCCAGAACTGCTAATTTTATTAAAAGAGAAAACCGGGAGAGAAGATGGCTCACGAAGCGAAAAGGCCAAGTGAGACCAAGCAGTCCTGATCACAGCGTTAGTTATGCCCACAAGCAAACAAACACCATTACCACACAAAAGCAACTTCATGTTTAGGACATCTTCAAAACAAATCTTATAACATGATTCAGCTGCATGGTACCAAGCTTCCAACAGGCCTCCGTCTCTCCATTTCTCACCCAGTGTGTGTAGAACATTACAAAAACAGAGTCATTGTGTAGTGATATCAGATTTACGTTGCCTTTAGGAGGAGAAACACAGCGACGGCATTCAAAGCTTTATCTTTATCACCGCAAAGGGAAATAATATTTCAGAGGATAGCAGTGTGTGTGTGTGTGTGTTCTCGCAGTAAAACGGTATTTGGAGAGAACCCCTGCAGTGGGACAGCCTGTAATCCCAGCATCAATCCCGAAACCCGCCAAGCACAGCTGAGGTGTTTTCCCCTCTGGTATGTGACGTGTTTGCAGAAATACAGCAGAGCCGTGAAACTGAATTTTGAGGGTTTGCATCATCTGATGAAGGTAAAATGGATTTCACTTTAAAGAGGCATGCAGGTTTTATTGTAAAATGAACAAGATAAGTAAGAAAACAAGAGAAAAGCAAAGCGTTTAACCTCTTCAGATGTTTTATGTGCATTGCTCCTTTCTGCAGCGATAACAGCTCCCAAGCTCCAAGTGTTTTTGGATTCGTCCCTAAAAGTTTGTCACATCTTGTTACTGGAATTTATGTTCAAGGTGGTTTCTGATGGTGTACGGAAGTCTGAGCCTTGGGTGGACAGTTAAAGCACTTAATTACTTTCCCTTAAACCATTCAGGTGTTATTTAGTAAGTAAGTTAATTTTATTTATTTGGGCAAGGCAAGGCAGCTTTATGGCAGCTTTATTTAAAGAGCACATTTCAAACACAGAGGCAAATCAATGTGCTTTACAATTATCAGGACATGATATGAAAACACATAAAAGCACAAACTAAAATACACATAGATATATCTTTGGTGTGTTCTTGCTGTGTTTTGTTTCAAATTCCATCTTTTAGTTCTTTTTAAAACACAGAAAAGGTTTAATTACCTGCAACGTTTCGTTTGCGGCTGCAAACATCATCAGGCTGACGTCGATGGTGGCGTCACTTCCTTTGTTTATCCGCGGGCAGCAGAGGACGTTGTTGCCCTCTGCTGCCTGCTCTCCCCTCTCCGACGATGCAGTCCCATGTGCGATCCAACGAGTAAACTCCATCGTCCCTGTCCATGTCTCCTTATCTCGATTGCTTCTTTTATCTATCTTTTGTATTTCTGTTGTTTGGTGTTTATGATCCTTGTGTTGTCCCAGTCCATTACATGGTTTCCTCTTGTGCAGTGATCTGTTACGGCTGACTTCTTTATTGTACTTTCTGCTTCTTCTTTTGCTGCTCTTGTGTGTCTTCGACTTGCCTCTTTCTCGCACTCCTTTCTATGTTCTATTGTTCATGTGTTGAGTTGGCGTCCGGTTTCTCCTATTTATGTTTTATTGCAGAGTTTGCATGGGATTTCGTAAATGACTCCACATTTAAGTCCAGCTGGTATCTTGTCTTTTGGCTGTACTAGTCTGTTTCTAACTGTTGTTCACATGGGACTGCATCATCAGAGAGGGGAGAGCGGGCAGCAGAGGGAGACAACGGCCTCTGCTGCCCGCGGATAAACGAAGGAAGTGACGCCACCATCGGCATCAGCCTGATGATGTTTACAGTCGCAAACGAAACGTTGCAGGTAATTAAACCTTTTCTGTGTTTTAAAAAGAACTGAAAGATGGAATTTGAAACAAAACACAGCAAGAACACACCAAAGATGTTTAAATAAAAATACGGACAACAAGGAACAAAGGACTTCCGCCATTTGGAACGATTATATCAAGAATGCGCACGTCTTCAATTTAAGATGCCGGGACGAAAACATCACACCTACAAGCCTACAGCTGAAAACATCGATCCGGACCAAGACAGCACAGAACATAATGGAAAGAGCACAGAGAGCACTACTCAAAGAAAGGATAAGAAACGTCACAAACAAACAGAAGCAAGTGGAAAACGAACTGGAAAGAAGACACCTGGACTTAAAAAGGAATTACAAACTTGATGAACAAATGGAGGGACTAATTAAAGGACACATGATGGAAAAACAGGAAAAAGAGTTCATAAAAGTAAAAGAAAGACACACAAAGAAGTTAAACAAACTCATCAACAAGAAAAAGAGGGAAGAAATACAAGATAACACCACACAAAGCTCATGGGTATGTAACCTTTCACAATACGAACTAACAGGAGCAGAAGAAAGCATATTTAAAAAATGCTTAAACTTTGCAGTAACACCAAAGAAAATACCATATGATGAATTCATTGTAGCAACAGAACTAGCATGTCAACAGATCACAGATGAGGGAAAGAAAGAAGAACTTACAAATAACGTAGTTGGGATATTAAAAAACAGCCAAATTCAACACAGCAATATTACAAAAGAAGAACAATCAGCCATGACAGCTTTATCCAAAAATGAACAGATAATTATTCTACCGGCAGATAAAGGAAGAACCACAGTGGTAATGGACAAAGAAAAATATAAACAGATGAAACAGATGCTAGAGGACAAAAATACATACAAAATACTTAAAAAACACCCAACAGAAAGCATTAAGAAAAATATGAAAAAATTACTGAAGCCACTACAAGAAAAAGGCAAAATAACAGAAAAAATGTACAAACACAGGATTCCTACAGCAAACATAATACCAAGAATCTATGGAACACCAAAAATACATAAACAAAACACCACTTAGACCAATAGTTGACAGCATAGGTACACCAACATAGAACATGGCAAAAGATATCAGCAGAATCATCAGCCCGTTATTAGGAAATACAGACCAACACTGCAAAAATAGTATAGAACTGGCAAAAGAACTAAAGGAGATTACAATAGAAGACAACGACATACTCATCTCACATGACGTCACATCCCTGTTCACAAAAACACCAACCCAAAAAAACCATAGACATAGTAGTTAACAGAATCAGACAAGACAAAACTTTACACAAAAGAACAAACCTCACAGCAGATGACACAGCACGCCTGATAGGACTGGTAGCTAACTCCACTTACTTGACATATGATAACACAATATACAAACAACTGGAAGGCATCGCCATGGGTAACCCGTGATAAGCCACCCTGTGCGAGTTTTTCATGGAAGACCTGGAACAAAAAGGCATAGCCACCGCCCCCCCAAACTGCAAAATAAAACTATGGAAACGCTACGTAGACGACATACTGGAAATCATACCAAAAGGACAAACAGAAACACTAACACAACACTT